GAATGTTTCACGATTAGGACATTTAAAAATAGAAAGCAGCTTAATAGGTTCAGCAAGCTCGCCAGCCGGCACCAGCTTGGGGCTGGGTGCGAGGCTGTTGCTGTGGTCCTGGCCCACGCCCTCGGCGAGGGGTCGGGGATCAGTTCTATTATTCGGGGCTTTTCTTTTGAACGATACGGCAACTCGAATATATATTGGGTTGTTAACGATGTTTAATAGTGGTTTCAGCGAGAATCATAGGCCTAAGAGCGCGATAATAGCGTGGGCACCTATTCTGTCTAACCTAGGGATCTATCGTAGTAATAGTGCAGGCCAGCTAGCACTACAGCCCCACCCCGTGTCACTTGGTGTGGGCCGTCGGTGCTGAGAAACTCTCAAGCGAAGGCGGCTTTGCTGCTTTGAACCTTGTTCTCAGGTTATTGTCAAGGGGGGCACCGTTCCGTTTTTCTCAAAATTTTGTTCTTTTAATGCCCTTTGCCTCGCTGTAGTGGCAGGCACTCCAGCATGCACTTGGGGCTCGTGAATGCTCCTGCCGAACTGCAGCGACAGGCCAAAAACGGCTTTCTACGGCCAGTAGATGAGCGGCTGTTGGCTATACCATGGAAGCGGGTGTTGAGGCCAGACCCGGCGAAGACAGACGCCATTCGGATGTAGCCGTTACCCCTGCAGGCTGGCACAGAAGCTCAGTATTTCGTCGGTCTCGCATCGTACTGCACCAACCTCATCAGTGGATCCGCATGCTCCCATTCCTCTTCAATAGAGATAGAAACAAACCAGTGCATTCGCAGATGCCGACTCCTATAGACAGTTTGCAGCGGCTCGGGCGTGCATGGAGAACGCACAAAATCGCCCGGCATGAAACTACGACCGAGAGGAGGTTCGTCAGTCGAGTTCAATAATCGCGGGCTGATTTTAATTGATTTTCTCTCTCCCCAAAGAGCCCAGGAGGGCGAGCAGCCGAAGAAGTTCGCCGCGCATCGGGTAGAGCCTTCGCCGGTAGTTCTGAGGTTAACGCCTTGGCTTACATCCCCGAATTCCCCAGTGTGTGGAGGTATTACGAGCTTTTTAATCAGTTCAGGGAAATACTGAAATTTCCCCTAACTTTTCCTACAACCCGGCAGCAGCGACGACAACAACAGTAAGCGCACCAGCAGCAACGATCAGCGCGGCAGCAGGAGGAGGAAAGCGAGCCTGGGCTACAACAGACTGGGCCACTTTTAATTCTAATTCCCCGTTTCGGGCGCTGTCTGCGGCACTGCGGCATGGGCTCGTTGCCATGCCTCGGCTCCAAGCGTGCATTGTCGTTCATTGAGTACAACTGGCCTCGCTAAATAGATGAAACTGTTGCTGTGCTGCACGGGATTGTCCTTGCGCCTGAGCCGTACCTGCAGCTGGGCTTACAGGAACGTTCTCATCTAAATATCTTTCGTGATCCCCTTTTACGGTCGTATGTATGTACTTTTCGCAGACGCTTCTTGCTGACTCCTCGATTGGGTAGTTCCCACCAGTCCCTTTTGCAGCCAAACGAACTCTGCAGCCGGAATTTGTAGGCTCAGGAACACCAGTGAGACCAACAGAAGCAAGAGTAGGACCTGAAACGGGAGGAGCTGGTGATGGCCCTGCTGTTACAGGAGTGTTCAAGCGATGGGAAGAAGCAGTTAACACACCAAGCAGCAGAGAAGCTGGAGCAGGGCCAGTAGAGTTACTCTCATGGGCCGCGGCCAAGCATGAATGAACCAGCAGGGATGTATATGAGGGAGCAGATGCTGCGGTCAGCAACGCATGCAGCAGCATGGGTGAGAGACACAGCCGAGTTTTGCGCTTATCAGTTTCCATCGACGCTAGAGAAGAGAATAGTCGTAGAGGGAGCCAAATGATACTTCTTATTGGCCTAGAGAAGACTGGCAGAAGCACAAAGCAAACTCGCTGCTACTGCGCGCGCTGCCTGTTGGGCCCTCCGACAGTAGCGAAAGCAAGGCAAACGCACACAATGCACAAGCAATCAGAGGCATCGAAGACAAACGACCACCGCAGTGAATGAAACAAAAACTTCGGGACATACAAACAAGACAAACCTATGAGCAGGTATGCAGACTTAAATGCAACACTAGAGTACTTTGTCTTGTGCGCTGGGCTTCATGTACACCATGGGGCGACCCTCTTCATTAGGCTTCAGCAGCAGTATCTGCAGCCCGAGCCGCAATGATGCAATAGCGCTCGTTACATTAGCAAGAGTTGCAGCAGCAAAGTTATGCAATAGCACGACACCATGCAGCAAGCGGCGCAGTAGCAACAGACCCAGCAGTGAGGAAACCAGCACGAGGAACCGAAGGAATCGCAGCAACAACATGCGGTAGAGCAACAACATGTGCGACAGGAGCAACAAAATGTGCATCAAGAGTAACGGCATGAGCTGCGAGAGGCCTTTCTTCGGTCTTCTAGTCTCTTTCTGGGCGAGCAGGCACACGAGGCCGCGTGCTGCTGCGGAGAGATTGGGGGGGCAGATGCAGCATGGTGCATCTGACGTTAGGGCTTGCTTTTCTACTTATGCGCAGGATGTATACTGAGGTCTACGTCAGTGTTAAAAATTGCTCACGGAGTTAGTGCATGCAGCAACGCGGGCTTGGCTGCGCTCCCACGCGGAGTTGCCTTGCAGCACTAGTTTTAACAAGGCGCCCAGCAACTCGTTACAGGCCAGCCCCTCAGCTCTCCGTCCCCAGGCCCTTGATCCTATTCTTAGCCTTTGACTCTATTCCACCTCGCGACGATCCTCCGCATCGATTGAAGACCCTCGAAGCAACGAGAGTCCGTAATGCTGTCAGGGTCGTGAGCTGCAATCCACCCAAGACCTAAGGGAAGTGTCCTTGGAAAGTTAATTATCAATTTTTGTCTGTACGCATCCTGGTAACAGCGGCCAAGGGCCTGCTGCGGGTGCGGAGAGGCGCAGGCCGCCCACGAGCTTCACCGCGTTTTGCTGCAACTACTGCTGTACAGCAACTAATAAGGCAGCACCACGTGGAAGCACAACCGAGCCCTCTTCGTTGCATGCAGTAACACTGTTGACAGCTGTTAAAAACTTCCTTGGCCCTTTGTAGGCTACCCGCATGCCAGGATAAGCAACAACTCCCGGCATACCACCCTCCACCATGCCACAATATGTTAAGGCTACGAATCTTCATGAGCTGCAAAGGCGGCATTTTTACCCTCCGGTTTGCAGGTTCCCTTAAGTGGGACGATATCCCGCTGCTGATGCTGACAGGGGCCCATCCCGTCCTTATCTTCTGCTGCAGCTCCTCCAGGGCCTAGCACACCACCCCGAAGCATCCTCAAACCGTTTTCCGGTGAACACATGAAAATGTTTTGAAATGGTTAATCGTTTACAGGGTGTCCAGCGACCAGCATCACACTCAAATGAACGTGCAACTACGTTAGAAACTTTATTACGTTCCACCCACTGCATGTACTTCGATGAGTGCATCGAAGTACAGAGAAATTGCCCATAAAGAAAAGCCGCTATGTAACGATTCCCGTGAAGTACTCTGAGCCAGTTTTGTCGTATTTCGAACAGTGGATAGTTGGACTTGAGCTCAAAAGCCAAACGCTGTTACTCCTGGACACAGCGCTCGGTATCTAGCAGGTCGTTGCTGACCAACAAAAACTCGCTACATTGCTGAATTATGCAAGCTCTCATCTACACTAAAGCTTGCTGTACTTATTGGGGGCAGCAATGAGCAGTACGGGTAATCTTAGCGGCCTTTTTTCCGTGCATGCGTGCGTAGCTGAGCCCCATTGCCCCCGAAGGGGCTCCATTGCTTTGGCCTTCGTCCACTGCCTTGTATCAGCTTTGCTGTAGGTTTTGTTGAAGTGTGTCACTTGCTGTCTCCCGTTTTCCGTGGTCTCGACTGCCGTGAGAGCGGCAGTCCCCCCCTGTTAGTTCCCGTGTTTGTGTGTTTTAATGAAGAAGAGTCCAGTGGCGGTTTGGGTTGGGTGAAAAACAACCTGCAGTGAATTTATTTTTATAGGACAAGAAGGGCAGAGGGAGCAAGAAGGGAAGGGCGGAGGACGGGGGCCCCAGCAGCGCAGACACGGGGCCCCCCACAGTCCGTGCCCTTCCAAAGATAATTCTTAACACATTGTTTGGTGTTGCGCACCTTCGCACCGTCGTGTCACTGGGCTGGCTTAGTGCCTCCATGCAGCTCCATTTTGGCCCATGGACCGCACGGTTCACGAGGGAACAGAGATGGAAGACAATGCCATCACAGGGGACGCTGCTATGAGGCGGGTGCAGCAGCAGCAGCAACAGCGGCAGCAGCAGATTGTATCGGGCCCAGATCCAAGTGCAGAGGCATGGCAGCTTGAGCTGTACTATTTGCTGGAATCGGTAGAGGCCTGCCAACATCAGTTGGTTCTCCTTGCCGAAGCACATGCTGCCGCAGCCGTTTCTGCTGTTGCGGCACCAGGTGGAGGTACAGTAGTAGCAGGTCCTGCGGCTAGCCCCTCATTGGGGGACTCTAGGGCGCAGGACTTCGCGGTCAGTTGTATTATGCTTCTGTGCACGGACACCGCATCGCCAGCTCAGCGTACGCAGGCAGAGACGTCTTTAGTGGCGTTTCAGGGATCCCCGGGCTACCTCACACTGCTGCTGCAGTGCTATTTGCGCTGTAGAGCGACTGCAACCGCAGCAGCAGCAGTCGCTGCCCAGGGTGCAGCAGCAGCAGCCGACCAGCTGGTGCAGCTCACTGAGAAGCTCCAGCCGCCAATACCCCATGACCCGGAAGCTCCATTTGTTGCTTTGGTTCTGCTTAAGGGAGCACTACAAAGCAGATTTACGGTGAGCAGCAACAGGTGCAGCTCCTCTGACGGTAAAACGAGTCCTGCACTAATCTGCAGGTCCGATGGAACGGCGGCTGCATTCATATGCAGGGGCACCAGGCGTGACTTTGGACGAGTTTGATGCGTATCAACATATTCCAAGTCATTGCTTGTAGATCCCTTCAACAAGCCGCATGGGATTTGTTTCACATGCTTGTGGGTTGCCTGTCCTTTGACTCGCTGTTATGTGTGGTGCTACTCCAGGCACGAGGCACTGATGCTGCTGATGAGGTGCTAAGAGGAGAAGTGGCATTCGTACAGTCTCTGTTGGTCTGTCTGTACAAGGTGGTAGGCGCCCCGCGCTGTTCACGCTTGCTGAAGGTGTATGTGGCGCTGCTGCGGCGCTTGGCGAGGGCTGCAGCAACGACAGCAGCAACAATTGCCACGGCCTCCAGGCTGCAGCAGGTGCTGTCGCAGCAGGCAGTGCAGCAGACCTTAAACAGCTACAGTAGCTGCAGCTCTTCTTGGGGGAGTGTCTTGCCTCTCGGCTGCGCGACACAGCCGCTGCAGCTGCAGCAGGCAGTGCGCGAGGTCGCAGCAACGGATGGTGCGTTGCTGCTGCTGCTTTTCGAGACAACGATTGTGCGACTGCTGAGAGCAGCACAAGCAGATGATGCAGACACTGCGCTTTACGCGTATCTCCTTAAGCAAATCCTGAAGGTGATCACAGCGCAGCAGGAAAAACCTGGCAAGGAAGCTTTGGCCTCCCCTTTCTTTGGCCTCTGTATCTACGCCTGCCTCCCATTACTAACTTAAAATGCTAGGCTCTGGCTATGAACCTGCGTCAACCTGTGAATTTCCTTGTCTCTGTCTCCTCCTGTCCTTCCCGCCCTCTCCCGCCTACACCCACCCCCCCCTCCTCCCCCCCAGACCCTACATGCCGAACCCTTTGCACACCTCGCTGCTTTTTCTTGGACTTTGTTTCTGCATCCTTCCTTATCGCTGCCCACTCCTCTGCACCAGTCTGCCCACCGCCAACCGGCTGCTCCTGTTGCTGCTTTGGCTGCTGATACTTTTGCTGTTGCCGTTGTTGCTTCTGTTTCTGCTACTGCAGGAGCTGGTGACTGTGCGGATTGGCGGGGGGCAGTTGTTTTTCGCCGCATGCAAGTCGGTGTTGCCCTTTCTTAGTCAGCTGGTGGCAGCTCTTGCAGGACGTCTGTTGCCACTGGTCAGAGCCAATGTCCAGCTTTTAGGGGAGCAGCAACTGCTGCACGAGCGACTGGACAAGCAGTTGGAGTATTGCCATGAAGGCGACCCTCAGCAGCAGACTCAACAGCCGCAGCAGCGGCAACAGCAGCCGCAGGGTCCATGCCTGCAGGAAGAAATAGAACGCATGCAGCGCAAAATCTTCGCACACAGCGAAACCTGGGAAGACATGTCAACGGTGAGGCCTTCGCCCATAGCGCCTTCCTCTGGGGCCTCCATCCCCCTCTGCTGCTTGCAGTGCATCCATGCTGTCGCCTGACTGCCGCTGCCGATGGTCCTTTGCCTGCTTCTGCTGCAGCTACTGGCCCACCTTTCGAGCGCGCTGCTCTTGTGCGAGGCTAGGGCAGGCAGGCCCTCGCACGACGTGGGAGACATAACGGCGCTGCAGGGCCTTCATGAGCTGCTTCTGCTGTTGCTGCAGCAGCAGCAGCTATCGGGGGACGGAAGTCGTTGCTCAGCAAGGGCAGCGTTTAAGCTTTTTAAAGTTCTTCTTAGAGGCAAGAAACACCGGCGGCAGTAGCATGCTTTGTAGGGATAACGGCAGCAGCGCTACGATCAGCTGCAGGGGCGCCGCTGCCGCTGCCGGGGCTCCGGGCACTGCTTTTCGGCGCCGTTTATACCCGCGAGCAGGTTCGCGGCTAAGTCGGGGTGAGAGCCGTCCGGTCTGCTGCTAACGCTTGTGCTAATGCTGTTTCTGCTGTTGGTGCTATCGTAGGTTTCTCTGAGGTAGCGGACCGGCAACCGTGGGTGTTTGCAAAGATGGGGGCAGGCTCCATGTCGAAGCTACTGCTAGCGGCCGTCCAGCAAAATAAGGTTCGCTGCTTCTGCTGCTGCTAGGTTTGTGCTTGCTGTTTTTGCGGCTGTCGCGATCACATTTGCTGCTGCTGCTGGGTCATCTGCTTCCGCTCGGTTGGGTGTCTTGGTGTTACCGCTAGTGCTGGTGTATGCACATGGTGCTGCTGCAGTTCTTCAGCCGCTGCAGGATAGGCGAGCCGGAGACGGACTCGCCGTTGCTTTCCCTTCCACTGGAACTGATCGCGAGTGCAGTGAGAGGATCCATGAGCTTCCTGCTGAACATGGGTAGCAGGTCGACGGTGGGGATGGGGAGCCCAGAGGTAGCAGGTGCAGCAGGGTCAGAGCAGGGAGTAACAAAGCTTCTCAGGATTCAAGTAACCGAAGATCTCCGCACCTTCTTTGCGTCTGTCGGGGGGCTGCAGAGCCTCATGCAAGACATTGCCCCTGCTGTTTTCCGGGCAAGCGCCACTGAGGTAAAAGCGCCGCTGCTGCTGGTGTTGCTGCATTTGCTACTGATGACACCACTCCCGGTGGCAACGCCAGTCCATTCGCTGGAGCAGTTTCAATCACCACTCTTCTTGTAGAAAGCACGAAACAGGCTTCGCCGGTTTCACATTCCTGGGGCCACCGTACTTTTGCAGGAGCAGCAGAAGCGCCCACAACAGCAGAAGCGGTGGAGTCTATGGAATTGTATTTTGGGGGAAGACCGTCGCATCTGTTGTTTTACTTCTTTGTTGTTCCCTGAGTGTTTTCCCCATTGTGGCATCGCGCTCCCCACTTTTTCTTTAGGGGCTTCTTGTGTCTGGTGCAGTCCCTGGACTTCCTGTCGCGGCCTGAGGAGCTCTATGGGAGCCTTGGATGCGCGGAAGAGGGGACGAGGCCCCTGCGCGACGCTGCAGTGGCGCTTCTGGAAGATTGGCTTGCGCAGGGGCTGCTGGGGCCGGCCTTCCTACTGCGCACCTTTTTCGCAGCGAGCGCCTCTTTGGAGAAGCTTGCAGCACCGCCAGCAACGGGTGCAGCAGATCGAGCGGCAGCTGCAGCAGCAGCAGGTGCTGCTGCTTCGGCGAGTTCCACCTACCTGGCTCAAGTAGAAGAGGCTGACGGGCTTCTTGCTCTATTGGCTGCGTCGCTGCAGGGGGCCATCCGCGCAAGCATTTTTGAACCGAACCAGCAGGAGCGGGAGCAGGGGCAGCAACGGCCACTCGACCAGCAGCGGCAGATCGCTGCTCAGGTTCTCGGTGCCGAGGGCGCTGCACCGTACGACTCTGCTGTCACGCAGCAGCAGCTGCAGCAGCTGTTGCAGCAGTTCAGTCATCTCTCGCGCCTCTTGCGGTGGCTCATCACTACTGGTCCGTTTGCTGCCGCAGTGGCAGCAGCAGCAGCAAACAAGGACCAGGAAGCAGCAGCCGCTTTTGCCATAGTTGTTGCGCGTTGCTGCGCGGTGTTGAAGCTGCTTTTGCAGATACACTCCGTGATGTCCCTAGCTGACTTCCGGGAGGCCTTGTCCGGCTTGGTGGAGGAGTTGCTTATCTCGCAGCCTCTCATGAAGGTGCTCGTTAGCCATCACGCTGCCTTGCAGCAGCAGAAAGTGGTGCTACAGCAGCAGCATCAACAACACCAGCTGGAGCAGGTGCTAGTACGGCTGCAGGAGACAGAAGCCCTTGTAGAGACCGCCCTCAGAGCTCCACTCTTCGAGGCCGTTACAAACTGCCTGCAAGTTGGGGCATTAAGTGTGGTCAAGGCAATGATCAACCGCAGCTCCGAGCAGCAGGAGTGGCTGGAGCGGGGACAGGGACAACAGGTGCAGCAGGGGCAGCTCAAATTGTCCTATAGGGAGCTGCAGAGGCCGTTTTTGTTACTTTTGTCCCAGGTGAGTACAGGGAACCGATGGTGCTTCTGTTTTTGCTGCTGTTTTAAATGTAAAATATGGGTTCCGTCGGTGCATTTGCATCTGCTGCTGTTGGCCTGGCACGAGAAGTTGCACAAGCAACAGCAACAACAGCACTAACGGCTGCAGAGATGTGTATTTGATGCGTTCGTCGGTTTCAGAGCGACCGCAGCCTCTGGAGCAGCAGGCTGCTAAAGATGCTGCTATTGCTGCAGTCATGCGGCCGCGAGGAGCAACAAGAGCAGCCCTTAGAGGATACCTTCTTTGACTTTTCCGACCTGCCAAACTACGGCGACGTGGCGTATCTCCGCCGCGTCATCATGCAGAGCAGCAGCAACAACAGCAGCAGCACCACCAGCGGGGGGGAGCTGCGGTGGTCTCATGTGTACGAACAGCTACTTCATCAGTTTAAAGCATACAGCAACAATGAGGGACTGCAGCTGCAGCTGCTCACATATTTGCATGGCGCGCTGCTGACAGGACGGCCAGAAGTGTTGCTACATCTTCCACCCGGGATGCTGCCCGTGCCAACCTTGCCCTTGGGGCTGCTAACTGCAGCACTTCAGGTGTCGTTTTCTGTTGCTGCTGCTGTAGTTGTCCTTGTGACTCTAACTGCTGCTGCTCCGGTTGCATCTCTTGACATCTCAAACACTTCTGCTTCCCTTGCAGTCGGTGGGAAAGGCGGCTGCATCTGGGTTTCTTTGTTGGGAGATGCAGCCGCTGGGAGTTGCCCACATACCCGTAAATCTCTTATTAGAGCCTGACCAGTCCTGCACAGTTTGGTGTGCGCAGTGAAGGACCTCAGAGATACAGTGGGGGCTTGTGCGTGGGTTCGAGGTTTCGGGTTTGTGCTGTATGGTGGTTTTGTTTCAGGCGTTCGGATGGGCAGTGGGCTCTGGCCCCAACCCAGGTGGTGAGTAGGCCGTAGTATGCGCCTGCTGCTGGTCTTTTGGTTCTGCATGCATTTCACTTCCGTGTCTTTCCCTGTTTCGCAAACAGCGAAATGTGAATGGCTGTGGGTTGTCTACTTTGCTGCGTTCAAACTTCACTGCAGGCTAGCATTTGTCATCGATTTTCGTGCCCATCTCTTTTGGTCGATTTCACAGTTTATTATTGTGTCTATTGCAGCTCTTTTTCTGCGTGTTTTCTGGTTTGTGTGTGCCATTGCGCGCTCTCACCACCTGCACCCCTTTCTGCTTGTTCACCAGCGTTTCCAGCTTGCTGCCTTTTCATTCTCTGCATGCATTTAAATTTAAAAGCTTCCAGTTTCTTCCTTGCCTCCCCTGATATCTTCTCTAGCGCCACTTCGCCACTTCCCGGACTTCCCGCCCTGGTTCCCGCCTCTTTGTCTGCGCTCCCCATTTTGAGGTTTGCCTCGCTGCAGCATAATATCCACACGATTCTCTCCATCTGTCTGTCTGTCTGTCTGTCTGTCTGGTGTCCACAGCCCCTACAGAGCCGTCGGGGGCACTGCAGCGCTGCGGCTTCCGGATGTTCATTGGAGTCCTCAGAGCGACGGACCCGTTGCGCCACTCGCAGGATGAGGTCCGCCCCTATCCTTCCTCTTCCCATTACGCTGCAGAGACACATATATGCTATCCACGGTTGCCTTTCCTGCTATATTCACCTGGAAGCAGTCAAGCTGTTTACAGCATCCGCCGAGAATAGGCACATGCTGAGCTCTGGGTTGTGTGTGGGCCTGCCCAGTGAGGCAACGCTAAGGCTACTTGAAGAGGGAGAGATGAGCTACGGGGGGATAATAAGCGTCCTGCTCATTATTTTGCTTCTTCCTTGCTGCTGCTGCTGCAGGTGATTCTCTTGCTGCAACTCATACCAGCGGTTGCCGACCAGCGCCTGAAAGTTGCCGAGCCGCAGCGCCCTTTGCTGCTGCTGTGCCTGTTAGAAGCAGCAGCTCTTTGTATCGCTGTAGGTGCGGCTCCGCTGGCGCCTCCCCAAATACGGCAGATGGCGGGTTCTCTCCTGCCGCAGTTATATTCTTCTGCAGAGGCCCGTTTGGTCCAGGTATTCAGGCGATCACTGGCTTTCTGCTGTTGCCTACCTTTGTTTGCCGCTGGCACCTGCAGCTCCAGTTGGACCGTTGTTGCATTTTTTTTGTCAGCGGTTTTCCCCCTGCGGGATCATTGGCTCTTCAGAGTTGTTGGACAGACATCGGCTCCTGCAAACATCAGGGCGCCTAGGCAACTGCCTGTTTGCATTTTCTCGTCTGTCAAGCTGTTTGTAGCGCCCTTCCTGCGTTGTTTTCAGCTGAGATTTCTGCTTGTGCTGCGGTGGTGTTCAGAGCCCTTGTTCGGGTAAAGTGGTGCAGCAGCAGCTGAGGGCATGCACGATGCTGGTTCTGCAGCTGCTGCTGCTGGATCGCGGGGACTGGCCTCTGTTGGAAAGGCTGCTACATCAGGCCTTGGCAGCTACAGCTTTCCGTGGGCTGTTGAACCTGGAGGGAGAGGAAGCGCAGGCAGTCAGCGGCAGCTTTCCTGTGCTTTGCTGCTGGGGCCTGCGGTACCCTCTTGCCTTTGTTGCTGCTGCTACAGCGGCGCTTGCGGCTACTGCAGTAGGGGTGCGGCAGGAGCTCATGGGGTCCTTCATGTTTGCAGCAGAAGAGGTGCAACTCAACGAACTACTCCTAAGGTTTGCTACGGCAATGCTGAACGCCAAACGGTGCGACAGCCTGTGGGACTGTCACTGGGCTTTCTTGTCTGGCCCTCCCTGTGCGTGCATAAATACAGCAACACATATGCGAATACTATTTGTTCATAGGGGAACATATTGTGCAAGTTTTTTATGTGTATACATTTCATGTATATATATATATATATGTATATGTAAACGCACTAATGTCTAACGTGTATATAATGTATGCCTCTGGTATGCAGAGACATAAATTACGTACAAGCGTGTATGCGTTCGCGAGAAAATTCCCTTTTCAGTCTATTATCCTTCTACCGTGTTCTGTCTCTTCGTTTTTGTTTCGGCCTCTACTGATACTCGGTTTCCCCGCTCTGCGTTGGCACTTCAGCGGTCTAGTCCTTTTGCCGCCTTTCCGCGCCTTCACCTTCGTGATTTGCATTTTTTGCGTTCTCGGTTTTCGCTGTCCCCGTCGATGTGCCTTTTTTCTTAGTTGCCTGAACCGGATGAGCGTCTCGCCTGCATTCCCCTTTGCGTTCGTTTTGGGTACTGAGTGTTAGCTTGTCATTTGAATCCTCTTGCTCTGTGGCATCTCTGCGTGCAAGGATTGTCGCATCCTCCATGTCAGTGTTTGAGCGTCTCCGCTCTTTTTCGCCTGCTGCAGGGCCGCTTACTTTCCCCTCGTGGGGGTCTCTTTTGCGGCACTGTCTGTGCGCATCATTTCGCGCGCCCTTTCGTTTGTCCCATCCCTTGCTGCTGCTAGTACCAGCAATGCCTGTACACCCGAGCTGCTGCAGCGGGTCTCAGGATTGCACATGGAACGGTGTGCAACTACTCTCGAGGCCGCTGTCCAGCTCATGGCAGGAGCTGCAGCGACTTTCAACAGCAGCAGCATAAACAGCACACCAGAGCCTTTAGCATCATTTGGGGAGAAGCAGGGAGCTCTAACGGGGGACCCGGGAGCTTTGGTATCTGCGCACTTGGAGAGGCAGCTGCTGTCTCTGAGTGGGGAAGCAGCGTCGAGTGCTGCTGCAGCTGCGGCTGCGTTGCAACAGCCTGCCTGCGCTCCGCCTGAAGTAAGGCGGTGTCTGGCGCTGCTGCATATCAGCCTTAGCGGGACATCCCTAGACAAAGAAGACTGGAAGCAAGGCCTATCTCGTACGCAAACGTATTTGCTGCTGGCACCTCTGCTGCTCGTGCTGCTAGGGGGTTTCTTTCTAATACGAAGCCTTGGCCTTGAGGCTGTGCACATAACCCATCGCTTTCTCGTTTGTTGCTCATGCGTCTGTCTGTCTTGGTTTTCTTTTCCGCAGGACTAGCTGAGGACACAGTTAACACGGCGAGAAATTGTCTCTTCGCGCTACGCTGCGTCTCTTCGGGGGCCCCCCTGGCGTACCCAGGGGGCCTACCTTCAGCGAATTGCACTTTAGGTCCCCCCAATGAAGTTCACCTGGGCGTCCCTACACCAGCCTCTGTTTCGGCCTGGAACAGCTGCTTGAGCACTGAAGAGCGGGAGGCTCTTTCAGTGCGCCTTAACGGTATCTCGCCGGCGTGGCGCGGGTAGCACCAGTAGCGGACTGGGGTCCCATGGTACAGCTGGGACCTTCTTCTTGACGGTCTCTAGCAGTTGCATGCAACAAACGTGGGGAAGGAACATTCCGCAGTGGTTCACTGTGACCTTGTGGCTTTTCCCGGGCGCTTCACGCAGACGAGGTTCACTGTTAACTATACTGTACGTGCGCCAGTGCATGCAGTGTGCACGCACGATGCATGCGTAGGGGGGAAATGGCTGGGAAACGAGCCGAAGGGCTCAGGGTCAGCGAGTCTCTCGAGGCCCCTCGCGGAAAAAAGAGCAAAATCCGAACGAAGTACTAGGTCTCATTTGAAGTACCCTTATCCTAAACCCTCAGCATTAGCCCTTGACTGTGGACCATTCAAATCCCACGCTGGAGGCTGTTGGGGCCTGGTACACAGGTTTAGCGCTGCAATAGCCTTCCTGTGGAGTGAAGTAAATGCGCAAGCTAACAGAGACGACATAGCGGCAGGGACGGGCAGCAACACACCTCTCCCCTCAACACTGGGGCTGAGCGTAGCCTACACTGCAAATATTTTGCCGCTAAGCCCTGGCTAGCCAGCCAGCTAGTCAAATATCTGGCCAGTTTCAGCAGTGGCGGCCAAGCTGCGCAAGAAGGGCTTGGAACATGGGCGTAAGCCAAGTGTACACGTATGCACATTGCTGTACAATCCGCCGCACGCTGCGGTGGCGATACCAGGTGCAAGACGAAGTTCAACGAAAGATATTGACGCACTATTGGTACGGCCCCCTAGAGCCTTTTTACAGCTACAGTGGCTGCTCTCGAGCAGTCCGACGGATCTCGACGGTCCAGCGGACCCTAACGGGCTGGAAGGGCAGAGATGCTGCTCGAATAGCAATACCTAAACATGCAAAATGAAGGCATAAAGCTAGGAGCAGAAGTAGTTGCTCCTCGCGCAGCGGCAAGACACACAGCTGCAGCAGCGGCAGCAGCAGCAGCACAACAGCAGCCCCAGCGCATAGTTTACCATTCGCGACACTCAGCGAGCGAGTGCGAACAACGAGTCACATATAAGGGCGCACAGTTATGAAACTTAACAAGGAGAACAATACAATTCTGAAGCAACGACGGGTGTTAGGGGCCCCGAGCTCTCCAGCCAGGCGCCGTCGGGGCAGGGGCCCTTCGTGGGGCCTTCGGCAGCGGCAAAGCAGCGCATGGGTGCTCTTGTGGCCTCCTTCTGATGTTCATATGACTCCTTTTGCTTACCGCAGTGGCTACAACGGTGGCGTCAGCAAGAGGAGGGCAAACAGCAGCATCACGACGAACAGTGGCTGTGAACGCTTCAACTTCTTCGGGATCCTCATGTGTCGCACAGCTAAGGGTCCCAAAGGTGCCCATAGGTGCCCCTTGCGGCAGCATCTGCCGCTGCTGTGGCGAGGGCCCCTAACTGCTGCTGCGGAGCTGTTGAGCTGCTGCCGAGCCGCACCAATGTAACGGCAGCGGTTACGACGCCAAGCAGCAGCAGTGGTAGGGACAGTAGAGGGAGAGCATGCAGAAGATGCTGCCGAGCTGCGGAGAGAACCCGCAGCCCAGCGGATTCCCGAGCTCCTGCAATTCGTCAGGAGTTGCTGCTGCAGCAACCGCCGGAACAACTCCTGAGGCGATAAAGTTATCTCCTACGGATAAGGCGTGCCCACTTGGTGTAGCAGCAGCAGAAGCAGCAGCAGCAACAGGAGCAGAAGCGTCAGCAGCAGCCAGTCCTTTGCTGTGTGGCGTAGTGGCAGATGGTCTCCCTGCACCTGAAGCAGCTACTAAAGGAGCGCCTGCAGCAGCTACAGCAGCGACAGAAATGACAGCGGCAGCAGGTCAGGGTGAGTCTCTGGCGGAATGTGAAGCAATCGCAGCTGTTTCAGGAGCAGGAGGAGCAGCAACAGCTGATGCAGCTGAGGATACTATATCCTTTGGGGGACCCCTCACGGGATCACTAAAGGGGCCTCTGGACGCAGCCGGGGCTTCTCCTGTGTCGTGCCCTCTCCCTTTAAGCGCAGCAGTGGTGGGCGCCCCCTGGGCTCCCCCTGCGAACATGAATATTTGGCAGTCGCCTTCCCTGTCTCCAGTAGAATCCTTTGTAAAGTCTGGTGAAGACTCGCCGGGGGCTCCTCCTGAAGAGGCCCTGGCCAGGCCGCCTTTTGGGGCCCTGAGAAGCCCCAGTGGAGAAAGTCGAAGGGGCCTGTTGACCGAAGAGGTGCTGGGGGGGCCCTCTGGAGCGACTCGCGATGTCGCGCATGTAGAGACTTCCTGGGGCCCCCATGATGCGGATGCAGCTTCAGGGGCCACGCCTGCGGATGCCCCTAGGGGCTCCTCTAAGGAGTTGCCTGATGAAGGCGTAGGAGAAAGAGTTGCTGGGGGCTCATTTGAAGCTGCGGCAAATGCTTTTTTAGAGTGGTGCAGCTCGGAAGATGCCTCCGGCGCCCGTGGGTATTCTGGGGGCCGCGGTGACGGCTGGGGCACCCGAAGGCAACTCTTCGAAGGGTTGGCAGAAAGGTGTCACCGGCAACAGCTGGAGCTGCAGCAGCAACAGCAGCATGACCAGGTGCTGCTGGAGGAGGAGCAGCAGCATCAGCAACACGGGGAGCAAAACCGGACACAGTCAGATGCCCTGCAGCAGGTGCCGGTGCTGCAGCAACATCTGCCAGTCGTGCAGGTGACGCAACAGCAGCAAGCAACAGGCACACAGCAGGAGCAACAGGAGTTTCTGCAACAGAACGAACAACTGCCTCCGCAGCAGCAGGAAGAAGAGCTGCAGAGGCAGCAACGAGAACAGAACGACCAACGCCAAGACCAGCGGCAGCAGCAGCAGAAGCGTCTCAACAAGCGTCTTTCTCGCGATGTCCGTTGCATGCCATCTCTCGTTGAGGCATTTCTGGTTCTCGGGCCCCAAGCGGCGTGTCCTGTCCTAGACTGCTGCATTGGCCGTTACTGCCAACAACAGCAGGAGCAACAGTGCTGCTGCTGCTGCTGCCAGGCTAGGAGTCAGCAGGGAGAATGCGGCTCCTTTGCTGCCGCTGTTGCTGCTGCTGGTGAAGGTGCTCACGAGGGCTTCGTCTCCGAGCACGCCCTGGGGGAGAGGGAGAAGGAGCAGCCGCAGCAGCAACAGCTACGGCAAGAGCTTCGACGAACGCGGAGCAGCAGCAATGACAACGAGGAGCAGACCAGCGACAGTACGAGCAGCAGCGACAGCATCAGCGATCTGTTACAGCCGCATGTTTGGTGGTGCTGCGCTTGCAAGAGCGCTCCGTGCGTTTTTCCCGAAGGCGCCATCCCGCCAGATGGCAGCCCCTGCACCAGCAGCGACAGCAGCAGAAACAGAAGCAGCTGTGCCAGTTCCCTCTGCGGCTCCAGTAGGGTTCTGAGCTTCTGCAGCCAGTCCCAAAAGCGCCCCGCTTCTATTCCTTCTGTGGTCGCAAGCTCCAATAGCTGCAGCAGCAGTGGCAGCAGCACCAGAAACTTCGCGTTGGTACCGTCAACTAGAAGGTGCAGCAGCGGCTGCCGGACCGAAAAGAATAGAGGCACGAGCAGCAGGAGAGCAAACAGCTGCTTGCTCCCCAATTCCAATTGCAGTCAAGACTTCACGGGCTGCAGCAGCATTAGCAGATGCCCCAGCAGCAGCCGAAGCAGCAGCCGAAACATAAAAAGGGTGCATGCTCCACAGGTTCATGCAACAGGAGCACCAACAGCAGCAGCACGCATCTGTGGGCAACAGTCAATTACAGCAGAGGTGGGTCATGGCAGTAGAAGCTGCTGCTACAAGCACAGCAACTGCTGCTGCTGCAGCAGCAGCTACTGCAGCGGCGGCAGCAGCAGACGTAGTTGCAGCGATGCCGCTTCGCGCTGCCACGATGAGGGATTCATGCGTCGCAGCTCGAGCTGGCCTAGATCACACGGCGGAACTTCAGCTGCTGCTCCTGCAAGGGTTGCTGCTGGTGCAGCAGCAGCGTCAAGAGGCTCACTTACGAATGCAGCAGCAACTTGTACGGCTGCAGTGTCTTCAGCGGTGGCAGCAGATGCACTCGGGGCGCCTTCACGAACTCAAGAACCTGTCGAAAAGCCAAACCGCCGCTCACCTGCTGTAATTCGTTGCCGAGTCCGTGGCGTCTGCTCCTGCGGTGGCGGAAGCAGCATCAGCAGCAGTAATTGCTGCAGAGAAACCCCAAGCGACCCACAGCGCCGTTGCAAGTGCAGCTACACCCCGAGCTTCGATGTGGCGGTCACGCGCAAAGGCAAGCCGAAGGTCCTTCCCGTCCTGGAGACATCACCAACATCAGTGGCAGCAGCAGATCCAGCAGCAACAGCAGGGAGCCCAAACAAATCGACAGGAACGGAGACAGGGGATGCAGGAGAAAGGCCAGCAACACCAGATTCAGGACCAGAAAGTCATGATGAAAGCTGCGGTAACATCTCGTGGCTACCGCCAGAGGTGCCTCCTGCAGCAGAGCTGTTCTGCTTCCCTCACGGGACGGCGAAAATGCTGCCTCTCAGTAGCGGCTGCCTCTGTACCCTTCTCAAGAAGCCTCCGCAGCAGAAGGAACAGCAGCAAGAAGACGTTGCAGCACGGTCATGTACATCTCCTTGGCAATCGTACTTGCCACATGCTTTGAGGAAGCTGCTGTCTGCAGGTGTGTGCAAACCAGCAGCAGCGACACCAGCAACTTCCCCATCCATCTTGGAGGCACCGCCGGAAGCATCCCCTCAAATGTTTCCAGAGCCAGCAGCAACATTTGCGGCCGCAGCACCAGCAGCAGCACCAGCGGCAGCGCCAGCAGCAGCACCAACATCATCACTAACAGGAGCGCCAGAGGCACCAGCAGCAACGCGGGCTCCACCATGCATTTGCCAGTGGGGTGGCTGCGCGTGCGCTTCTTTGCTGAGAGTTCATTCTCCCTCATCTTTCGTTTTCGTCCTGACAGATATTCAGGGCCGGAGACTCTATGGGCACTGTCTTCGCTTCTTCGAGCTTGTTAGCTTCCGGGTGCCCACTAGCCGCAGCAACACGGTCAGCAACCGCACAAGTCCAACCATTTCTGCAGAGGGAGACACTGCGACAGATGAAGTGGCGTCAGGCAGGGAACAAGAAACAGGCAAGATAGATCAGGAGGAACAGGCTGCAGGCACAGCAGAGGCAGCATCTGACCGCTGCCGCAGTGAGCCGCCCCTGGCTTATGTGGAAAGGGCGTTCTGTGTTTTGTCTGAGCTCCCTTTTTTCGGGGTTTTCCATGAGTGGTTGTGGAGTACGTACACCTCATACGCTGCTCTCTGTCAGGCCACTGCATGCAGCTCCAGCGGTCACATCGTACTGCAAAAGCAGCAGCAACTGCAGCAACGAGTGTTACTCCCCTCACCACTGTTATATCTGCAGCAACAAGCCACAAGGCTGGTGGAGGAGACGCCAGCTCCAGTAGCAGCCCGCATATGGGAGGTGTTCCCGCTCCAACAGGTTCAAATGCGCTGTGAAAGCAGCAGCAGTAGCAAGTGCGATTTCAGTTCCGATGAGAGCAGCAACAGCTCCAGCAACATCTGTAGCACCAACAAGCTCCAAGTTTCCGTTTCCATAGAATGCACGCGCTCCCTACACTTCGCGCTGCCGCCGCCGGGAAGCTTGCCGCTGTTGCAGGTGAGCCTCCACTACTGCACCGGCTTGTGGAGCTCCTCATGCATCCGTTGCAACAATACTTGATGCAGGTGTTGGTGCTGCAGTGTTTGTTGCGGCATGGGTTGCTGCTTCGTTGGAAGGAATGATAGTTATGGTATATTTTGAGTTGAGCTTTGTGCTGCAGCTACCTCTGGTGAATCTTCTGAAGACCTATCCCCTGGAGTTGGTGTTACTGTTGTTCTTGCTGCTGCTGTGCGAAAAGCAGATCGTGCTGCTCTCTTCGTCTGTGAACCGCCTAAGCCTGCTGCCTTGTGCTCTCACGGGTCAGCTGCACCAGGCGTATTTCTAACAGTAGCAGCAGGGAGCGTAGAAAGTGTGTGGCGTGAGGCATTCGTTCTGCTGTAAAGCCAAGAAACACTGGCGGGTCTTGCTGATGCCCCAGCGGTGTCAGTAGAGGTCTCAATAGCGAAAATAGCGGCAACGGAATTGTGGCAACTGTCCAGGCAGAATCCTTAGTGTGCTGCCTCTAGACGCATCTGCAAGGGGATGCATACTGCGCTGCTTTTGCTTCTTTTGTGTCGGGGTGTATGTGCAGCTCTGATGTACCCCCTACAGTACTCCCAGGTATTCGTCCCGTTGCTTCCGGCCTCGCTCGCGCATTTCGTATCGATGCCACTTCCCTTCTGCGTCGGTTTCTTGACGCCGCCGCAGCAGCGGCAGCAGCAGGGGATTCCAGTCGAACAACAGCCACAAGGGAAGAACAGTAGCATCAGCAGCAGCCACAGGAAACGCGGCGGCATCCCCAGAGGAAGGGCAGCCCCTCCCGCAGTCTACGTGTGCACTGCTCCTGATTTTGCCGCAGCAGCAACAACTGCAGCAGTAGCACCAGCAGGAACAGTCTCAAGCAGCAGCAGCAGCAACACCCACAATAACTGCACGAACACCATTTCTGGCAATATGCTGTACGCCATTAACCTATTCTCTCACGCTTTGGACACTTTCCCTCTCGGTTAGTTCAACCAACTTCGCTGTTTCTGCCGCAGCTGTCGTGGTCGCCGTTGCTGCACTTTCAGCACAAACAGCTGAAGCACCGGCTGCTGCAGTTTCAGGTGTTGCTGATAAAACGCATGCAGATGTTGCTGCTGCTGCTACGTGCCTTGATTGAGCAGCTCGGGGCGATGCCAGCAGTCAGTCCTCGAAGGCAATCTTCTTGGGTGTTGTTTTTCCTGTGGCGTTGCTGCTGCTGTAGGGGTTTATCTTGTAGACTTGGACAGCTGCTCTTTCTCTCTGTCGCATGTTGCCCTTGCGGCGGCAGCTGGGGACCCACAGCAGCGCGATTCCCTGGACCCTTTAGCAGTAGCGGCGGCGAAAGCAGCAGCAGCCGAAGCGGGGGCAGCAGCAGCAGCGCCTGGTACGGTTGCTTGGGGATTGCCTCCTCTGCCAGATATGATGCTAGGGAAGCTTGTTGCGAGCCTTGTGCCACTGCTGTGCAAAGATGAAATTGAGGCCGCTGCAGCGGCAGCTGCAGCGGCAGCAATCGTAGATGGGAACCTGACCAGCCAGCAGCGGAAGATGCTGCAGCGCCACCAGCAGAAGCAGCACAAGAAGCGGCGGCAACAGCAGCAGCAGCAGATCCCTTCATTTCTCCCCTCTAACTGGCTCGTGCTGCGGGAGGATGTAACTTGTGCTATCACAGAAGAGGCAGCCGCGTACAGTGCGCGGCTTGCTGCTGCTGCTGCTGCTGAACTAGGCAGTCTCAGCAACAAAACTGTAGGAGGCACAACACTGCAGCCTCAGCAAGGCGTGGCCAGGGGTGACCCTCTGCAGCTGCTGCACACAAGCAGCCGAAGTCAGCAGCAACAGCAGCAGTTCCTTAGCCCGCAAGCATGTGGCCAGAGCAGCACCAGCTTCGGTGGCGCTGCAGCATCAGGCGCCACAGGGGCAGCAACTGCTGGGAGCAGCAGGAGCGGCAACACCAATGCTAGTGTGAGAGCGGGACCCAACCGTTCTCATAGTGGGGCCCTTCTGTCTGTCTTTCGCTTCTTGAACCTCTTGCCTCCTGGCAAGACAGACCAGCAGCAAGTCCAGCAACGAGAGCTGCAGCATCTACCGCAGCCTGCAAAGCTCCAACTCCAGCAGCAGCAGCAGCATAGGAGAGACAATTGGCTATGGCGGCTGTGGGGGCAACGCTCTTCAGCTTCCGGAGCAGACATGACAGACGCAGCGGCAGCAGCTTCAGCAGCAGCAGCAGCTTCAGCTGCGGCAACTGTCGCTGCTGCCGCGGGTGCTACCGTTGGTGCTGCAGAGACACCACCATCGCTCCGTGGGGCGCAGCCTGCACATGTCCGCTACTCGTCCGTTCCCGTCGGAGCTCACGCTGCAGCTGCCGCTGCTGGTGCTTCGTCGTGGATGCGGGAGAAGCAACAGCAGCAGCGACAGCAGCAGCAGCAACAGGAACAAGAAGAGGAGCACCAACGGCAGCAAAATGCGGAGCATCCGCCGCCCGAGAAGCCCGAACTCCCGTCGCCTTCTCCTGATTTGTCCGTCTCACCTACACAAGCAGCAGAAACAAGCGGAGCAGAGTGTTTAGGTGCTGTTGCAGCGTCTAAAGCTTACTACTGTCAACAGCAGCAGCCGGCGCTGCAGGAGCAGGTACAGGAGCAGTTGTCACTGCTGGAGCAAGTGCAACCGCAGTTATCCACGAGCACAGGCAACCGCGGAAGGAAAGGGATGTCACTGTTGTTCCAGCGGCAATGCCGAAGCAGCAGCGAGGTTTTTGAACGCAGTAGAACGTGGGTCAAAGCAAAGAGACCCTCTGCAGCAGCATCAAGGGGTATTACTCCGGCGCCCACAGAAGCAGCAGCAGCAGCGGCGGAAGCAGCAGCAGTCTCAAGGGGTGGTGACAGAGACGGGTCGTGGGGCCTAGGCAATGCGATTTCTTCAGCTCCAGCTACCTTTGTTGCTCCCGCAGGAGGGCAGGACGGAGCTGCTGCTGTTGCTGCTGCAGCAACGGAACCTAGCACTAACTTGCTGCCTGTTTGGCGCGAGTTTTCTGGCGTTTCGTTTGAGTCTTCTGAAGAGGGAGACGCTTTGAACTTACCTGTTGTTTACCCAAGCAGTCTGGACGCAGCGCTTCCCACTGCTTCTGCTGCTGCTGATGCACCCTGCAGCGGCAACGTTGGAGGCCAAAGCGGTGCAGAGGGCGAGTTTATTTGTGAGGCTGACGCTGCAGAGGAAGCAGCAAAGGCAGCAGAAGCCGAAGCAGTGAAGGCAGCAGCAGCAGCAGCTGCTGCTGCTGCTGCTTCTCGTATGACTGCCTTGCAGCAGGCAAGCACTGTGTGTGGACAGACCCACATTGATCCTCTAGATGGGGCAGAAAACCCTCTTTTCGTCTTGCGTGAGTGGAGCTCTACTTTGGCCGTTGGCGGTTGCTGCCAGCAGCAGCCAGAGGAGGTACAGCAGCAACATATGCAGCAGAAGCAGGCGAATACAGTAGCTGATGCAATACTTCGGGAGGTCTTTCTTCGGTTCTTTGTTGACTTGCTGCGGGGCTGCACCATTATCACCAGATCGCGGTATGACGGTTCCCAGGGGTATCTTTTCCGGGGCCCCTTAAGAGGCAAGGAGACCCCTGGAAACGGCGGGAGGCTGAGAGGGCAGGGAGCTTCAACGGATGGTGGCCCCTTGCTGCAAGAAATCTGCAGCACCCAAGCATTTGCGAGCTTTTTGCAGGTACAAGATGAAGCACGAGCTGTAGAATTTGCTAGCAGCTCTTCAGAAAGGGTTGGCCCGCTCCTGACTGGTACAGATACACCACAGGAAGAACCAGTTTCCCTCTCCCGAGATCCGAATGCAAGAGCCGTCAGTCCCCGCTCGCTGCGGGCAGCCAGGAAAGCAGCGGCTACTGCCTCTCTCTACTGCAAACCATTCTGGGTCTTGGAAGCCGAAGGCAACCGCCACAGGACCAACAGCAGCAGCAGCTGCAGCAGCGGCGTCCACCTCGCAGCAACACCAGGGCCCCCTGGTGCAGCAGGAAAAGCAGATGCTCTTCTGCAACACGAGCGCCAGACTGCTGGCAGTATCGCTTCCCAGCAACAACGGGGGTCATGCGTCCCTTGGGGCGTCAAGTATACTGTTCCAGTCAGGCCCTACGCTGCAACTGTCACTGCTGTCTGCAACAGCAACAGCAGCAACACTCACCGCGTCAGAGGCGAAGATATGGCCATACTGCTGCGGCCTAGATGGCCCCTTTCTTGGCCGTCTGCTTCCTTAAGGACTGCAAGGAAGAACGTCTCATCCAAATATGCCCAGTGCTCCAGAATAAGCAAGAGCACCAGCAGCAACCACAGCGCCAGGAACAGTGACAGTGAATGCAATGCGTAAGGGGCGAACCCCATTGCTTCCAATGGGTCTGCACTATCCCATCTTGCTTCATGGTGCAACAGAAATAACGACAGCAGCGGCATGTGGCGTTTGCGGTTGTGGGTATTCAGGACCTGGGGGCCCCTGCAGTAGTCGCTATTCATTCGGTGCTACCTGTTTGTTAAACAGCAACCGCCACTGTAGCAGGAATCGCAGTAGTATCGACAGCAGTAGCAGCAGAGGGGTAGTAGAAGCAACAGCCGTAGATATTGCATTTCGCGACACATTTTTCAGTTCCATACGAGGAAATAACCCTGATGAAATTTTCCTTCGGCGACTGCCTCTCTTGCGTTACAGTCAAGTTTACAAAAGAGCCTGGAGTGTTAGTTCCCTGCTGTTTTTGTTTCTGCGCCTGAGGACAATCACCTACTAAGAATGCTCATTGAAGTGTGGATATGTGAAATGCGCTCCTTTATTGTTGCTATTGGTTGCATGTACGCGCATTTGTATTGTCAATTTCCCCCGTATGCGTATCGTACACATGCATACGTTGTACGAATGAATGCATTACATTTCTACAGCACGCCCAGTGTACATCTGTTTTGTATGGATAATAGGAAAAGAGACTGCTTCCTCCGACGCCGGAAATGCAAGCCAAGGGTATCCCTGTGCGTTATGATTCCCGCGCATATGCTTGTTGTGTAGTATGTGGTTGATTATCGTATAGGTATTGTCTGCATTTCGCTAGACCTGTGCATACGCTAGCAGGTAACGCAGTGCAAGAACACATCAGCAGAATATGGCCGGCTGAACACGAACCAAAAAAGCAGCTACGTGCCACAGAATGTGAGCGTCCAGTTCACCGCAGTATATCCACCCTCCTTTGAAACGGAAGCACGCGAATGTCTCGACGACGAGGGTTTCGATCCCTCTACCTCTCTAATGCTAAGAGAGCGCTCTACCATTTGATCTAGACGTCCCTTAGGGAGCGTCTCTTTCCTCATTCTGCAATGCAGCTGGCCTTGCTGGATATCACCACACTGCAGCAAAACCTGAGGACTCAGAACATGAATGTTGCAGCATTCTTCACAAGCGCTGCTCCTCTACCTTCCCGCAGCTCAGGTGCGTTCCGAGAAATGTTCGCGCTTGAATACTAGGGCATACGCAGACGCGTCTGCTGACCTAGCAGTTGAAGACGGACTTTGCCAAAGGCCCACTCCCAGTTGCACACCGTACGGGGCCATCGGTGGCATTCCTCATTTGTTCACCTCTATACTAAAAGGTCCCCAGTACAATTCTGCTGCGATAAATACTAGCTTTGGTTTCGATGCGGCGACACTGGCGGAAGATGAGCAGCTAAAAGAAGCCTAACTCACAACCTACCGCAAGACGTGATAGAAACAACGCACCGCCTGCGAAAAGCATGTGCCTCGGCTAAACAAGTAACCTTGGTGAATCTGTAGATTTCATTTTTTGCTAAAACGAGCACTCAAGAGCATCAGTTCTTTTCGGTCGCTGAAGTTGTAGCTCCGGCAGCAGCGCAAGTTGCTGCTGCTGTCGTTGCGCAAAGTAGCAGATGAGCTGCCTGCAGTGTTTCCATGTTGGGCGTAGTCATTCTTCTCTAGGTCTCTAAATAGGCCCCCTTTTCGATGCTCCTTTTAACAGTAAGGTCTGTAATACCTAGAGGAAGAGCAGACAGAAAAAGAAGCAGCTCAGGGGAGCTCCCCTCATCGCAACACTTGGTTCTGCCACGGGAGCGGCAGCAGTAGCATCAAGATAGGCGGGAGGGGGGAGGAGGGGCCGCAGTAGTAGCCCCTACATCGTTCGCCTTTTTTTGTTACACTTATTTGAACTCACAAAGGGTCTCTTTCTTTACAGCTTCTCTCGCCTGGGCTTCTAGCTCGCCATCCGTTAGTCCATCCACGGTCGTCGTTCCGGCTGTCTGCGGCGTTTCCGTTTCATATTGGCACCTCTCCCCCTTTTTCTCATATAATTTGAGCTGTTATTATTATAATATACCTCCAGCCTCCCATCTGTCTTTGCTCGCTCCGGGCGTGCCACCGGGCAGTTCCTGGGGCCCCTTCGCCAGCAGGGGCCCCGTTCCATTGCCGGGACGCTTTCAGTGCAAATCGGCAATTGCAAAGAGTAGCCAAAGAGGGAGAGCAACCCTGAAGCTGCTTCATTGCCCCCCGTTGCCCAAGGCTCTACCGGAAGGCAGTGGTCCTGAGGCCAGGCAGCTGGAGTTTCAAAGCAGTATCGCCAGCAGCACAAAAAGCAGCAGTCTTTGTGGCTGGAGAGACAACAGCAACAGTCCGAGGCGATACAGGCAGAGGTAACAGCGACTAATTGAGGAGCTCCTTCATCGACAGCTACAGCAGGCTGCTGCGGCCGAATGAACGTGTGCTGCTGGGACCCCGCCTCGCCTGCAACAGCCGCAGCAGTATACCACATATAATTACAAGCAGGAGGAGAAAAGGGACGAGCAGTAGCTGCTGAAAATGGGGTTCAGTTCCGCGTCCGCGGCTGAGATGGGCCTCAGCAAGACCGAGTATGAAGACGCGGTCAATCTTGAAAAGCTCTACTTTCTTGCCAACAGCCACGATCAGTGCGCACTATGCGGCAGAGGGGTAATCTGCTGCTGTTGGTGCTGCTCTTTTGCTGCTGCTGTTGCGGCCAGTGCTTTGGTGCTGATGCTGCTGTTGTGTTTCGACAGGTGCTTGACGTCGTTGCGCTGGCTCGCTTTGCGCCTGTCGGCTTTGTCGCTTTGATGGTATTTGGTGCAATATCTCTTCGGAAGGCGAGGGTTTGTGGAGTTTCTGCTTTTTGCGATGCTGAGCAGGGCGTGAGCTCTGTGGACCTGCAGCGTTATGAGTTTCTATGCAACGGCTGCAGCGCGGGAAAGGCCTCCGCCAAGAAAATTGGGACGGACCGCTTCACTGCGTTCGAAGTGCAGAAATTGCTCAACAAGTTTGGGTGAGAGGCACGGAGATACCGCTCGAGGTGCTGCTTGCGTTTGTGTATTTCTGTCTGCTGGCGCCGCGCGTACAACGGAGGGTTTCGGCTTTTGCCTGTTGAATGGCAGTCAGGGTGTCCGCTTGGTTGTTGCATTTAGTGCAGAGATTCCTACTTTAAAATATAATATATTGAGGTGTGGATGTGGGGCTTTGCGCAGCGGCAACAGCACCAGCAGCACGCGGGACAGCGGCAGCAGCCGCGCCCCCCGAAGCTCGTCGTCCCGAGCTCCGGAGAGGAGAAGGCGCCACGGTAGAGGACACTCGAGGAGGAGAGACTCACCTTCCCCCTCCAGTGAATCCCCGGACTCTAGCGATGTAGGCTATAGCTACGCAGCATGTGCTGCTGCTCCTCTCGTTGCAGCAGCTCCTATAGCTGGTGCGGCTGCTGCTATCTTTGCTTCTTTGGAGGCAAAGTATGCATGTGCAGCATCAGAGCACACACTGTGCATCTCCCCCTCCCGTTGTCATCTGTATGCTCGGGCTCAAATGCACACTCTTCAGACGAGCACACTGGCACATAGAAACACAAACACAGACACACACTAAGACACGCAAAACACACACACACACACACACACACACACACACACACACACACACACACACACACACACACAAGCACAAACGCAAACACGCACAAACACAAACAAGCAAACAAACGGTGGGCTGTGGAGGTTGTAGAGAGTTGTCTGGACCTACATATTACATGTAACGCTGTCTGTGCTTATCCATATCGACTCCACATGTTCCTGCTTTCGAGAGATGCACACACTGAGGGCACTGGCTGCTGGGCCCTCTGCGTTTTGTTTGACTGTGTCAGGACTCTCCTCCAAGGTCTTCTTGGGCCTCGTCGAGATCCCGCGGAAATCGTGGAGACAAAAGCAGCAGCAGGCGCAAAGGCGCCCCTCAGGAGGACTTCGTTGCGACCGGCTGGCCACAGCCCAGTAGCAACGTGTGGACGGGGGCTCCGGACACCAGGGCCCATCAGGGGGGCCTCCACCAAACCACGCTCCCTGGTATGGGGGGCCTTGCAGGTATGGGTCTGGCTGCCGTGCCACACGCGCAGCAGCAACAACCGCAGCAGCAACAGCCGAACACTATGTGGAGGCAGGGACAAACCCCGCAAGGCCTCCTGACCCCCAACATGCAGCAAATGCAAATGCCCCAGCAAGGAGCCACAGTTGGCTCTTTCATAGACACCTCCCAGCAACAGTGGAGAGCCTGTGGGGGGCCACAGCCGCAGCAGCATATGCAGCAGCTACACTCGTTGCCACAGATGCAGCAGTCCCTGCAGCAGCCCAGTAATTCCTTGTTTGGGATGCAGCCGCAGCAGCCGCAGCAGCAACCGTTCGGAATGGGAGGTTCCATGGGCCGTCCTCCGCAGATGATGATGCAGCAGCAGCAGCCACAGCCGAACCTAGTGCTACAGCAGCACCAGCAGCCAAGCCCATTGATGCAGATGCAGCAGGTGCAGCAGGCACAGCAGCAGCGCAACCCCTTCGCCAGCATGCGTGGTCCCCAGCAACCAGCTGCAAGGCCTTCGAACCCATTTGCCTCACTGCAGGGGTCTCACTATGGAGGGAGCCCTTTTCAGCAACAGCCGCAGCTGCAGCAGCCGCTGCAGCAGACAGTGGGCATACAGCAGGCGTACCGTCCCCCAGGAGTACAGCAGCAGACGTCACCGTTTGGGGCTCCTATGGGGGCCCCAAGTGGTGGGGTCCCCATGGGGGGAGGCCCTCTGAGCACTCCGGCGAGAGCTCCCGTTGCTTCGACGAATCCCTTTGCCTCGATGAGCCAAGCCAAGTGGGCCTTAGTTTAGACCGTGTAAAACAGTCGGCTCCGTGTTCCCTTTCGAGTAAAGCTTGTGCCTGCAAGCTTCCACTGTCCGTCAGCCTCTCGCGTCCGTGCTGCTGTGGCGCTGTGGCGTATTGCCCCCCTCCTGTATGTTCACGTCTCCGTGCCCCGGGTTGGAATCTGGAGTTGCATGCTTTGGGGGTTCGGCGTGGCTGTACTTCGCATTCGTTTTGCTCTTGATGAACTGATCCCTGTCATGCGGAGCATGCTTACGTTGTGAAACTTGTGTTGCTATTTAAATGATGCTGCCTCTTCTGTCCCACTCGTCCTTACCATGCCATTCACTGCATGCATCTTTCGTGTGTGTGGCGCAGCGGATGGGCAGGGACTGGGGGCCCATCCTTCACTGCAAATACGTTCAACTCAACAATCTGGTGAGGGCCCCCTTCAAGGGTGAGGCCCCTTAGGCGTAGCTGCGCACCTGCCACTATAGCAGATGAGGTGGCGCTCCAACAGATGCTACTGCGTCTGCAACAACAGCAGTTTTTGCAGTATGTGCAGCTGCTGCAGAAGGAGCTGTGCTGCAGACAAACTATATTGCACAAACTGGGGTTTAGCAAACTAAATGCGAGAGCCTTTCCGTTCTTTTTTGGGGCGGTATGTAGGAACCTGCAGCTCGGAATCAGTTGCTGCTGCGTAGACTGAAGCAGCAGCGAGCGACAGCAGCAATGCTGCCACAGAATTTGGACCAGTTTCTTGCACCAGCATAACCACTCCATGTATTTATCCGCTTGCTTCGCTATCCGATTTTACAAGAGGCGCGTCACCATGCGCAAGGGGAAGTTTCCAGAAGCGAACATGATCCCTTCAAGAGGGCCGGTTTTGGGGCTGCTGTTGCTGCAGGTGCTGGCGGGTACTCCCCTGATTGTCAGGGGAGTACTCCCCACATCCGATACTATCAGAGGCACATCAGCACGAGCAAGGTGCCGCCCCGGTCTACCCGTGGGTACTAAGGGTTAGATGGACACGGGTGAAGGCGATGTAGCAAACAAGAGCTCGGCACTCGGTTGCAGCAGCAGCTGCAGCAGCTACTGCAGTAGTAGCGCAGCACGCAGGATCGGGGGGAGCAATGCATGGGAGTCAGTACGCTCTGAAGTTGTTGGTCTCCTGTCTTCTTCAGTGGAACGCTGGCATCTGTAGCTTTCATAAACCTTAGTATTATGAGGTCGTTGCTACAGGGGAGTACAACTTAGGCCATTTTAGTTGTTGGCCTTACGGTGGTGACTGGGCCTACACAGACAGTGATGCAGCTGCTGCTGAGCAGGGCCGGCGCATTCCTCAAGTCGCTGCCCTAGTGCACTGCAGTCCCTGTCAACTCCAGCTGATATTCTCCCGTGACTGCCTGCAGCAGAGGCAACAACAGACACAATTGGCAGCAGCTGCAGTAGCAGAAGGAACATACAGAGTATCAGTAGCAGGCGGGCAGTGGTCCCCTGACACAGTGGGGCGGGAAAAAACACCGGCGGTGTTGCATGCAGGAGCAGCAGTGACAGCAACAGTAGTAGCAGTATTAACAACAGCAGCAGGGTTGGCATACTTCTAGCGGATCTCCAAAGGGCCAAATTAGCGAGGAGGCAGAAGGGACACCCGCTGCTGTATGCAGAAAGTCATCTTTCTTGCAGCAGGGGCAGCCACGTACGGGCCCTCCCATAAGTGTCGACATTTCCCCCTCCACCCACGAGAGGACAGTGATACTTCTGAGGAGCGACTGCTGCAATGCAGGTGCATCCCCAGCTGCTGCTGTGGGCTGGTCACCCGCGCTGCTGCTGTCCATACGCTTCAACTCCTCGGGAAGATGTAGGCCGGCAGCAACTGCCTCCTGTAGCAGCATCTCCGCAGCTACAGAAAGAGGGTCCCCGGAAGGCCCCACCGTTGGCTGGGCCCCCTGACGGATCAGCAAGTCTACGAGCTGGGGAGATCCGGCAGCAATTGCTGCGTGCAGCGGAGATGGTGTAGTGCTGCTGCTGGTGCCGTTGCAGTTTACTTCTGCACCTAACGCCAGAAGCTTTGTCGTGGCGAGTAAGTCACCCTCCTGGCAGGCCTGGAGAGAAAGGCAGAGGCATCGCACAGCTGGGGCGCTGGCAAAGAGGGAAGAGTTGCAAGCAGAAAAGTGTTGGTGCCTGCCTACACACTGGACTATGCTCTGGCCCGCTCATTGTAGCTCTCTCTCTACCTCCAATGGTGAGGAGAGACAGCCGACAGCTCAGCAGCTCGCCTTCCCCATCGAGAGTGAAGAACACACAAAAGTACAGAACAGCATTCATCGCAAGCTGCCAGCTCCTAGACGAATACAAGTATACATATGTGAGCCTCCGTTAATACCCTCGCGAACCTGACAAAGAAGAAACGCCATTTCTTCTGCCTGTTGGACATGAGAAAGACGGTAGCACAGAGGCATCGCATGCTGTACTGTCTGGGGGGCCTCAAGGGCCCCTTGGAGACCCCTGCGAAAAAGCTTTCTTGCTGAAAGTCTGGCAAAGGCGACGCACACACACAACAGCTATGGGAGGGAGACAGTAAGCGTACTTAGAGACAGTCAGTCACACAGGAACCCGGCAGGTGGCGGACAGGGACTGATCCCTGGTGGGGAGTAGGGCCACGCCACAAGAATGCAGGTGACAGGCTGCAAGCGCAAGCCCTATGGAGTAACGAATACGAAGGGGGAGGCGGGGGTAAGCAGCAAGCAGATAGGCCAAGGGCCAAGCAAGAAACAAGCAGGCACAAACCCTCGCAGTGTCAGGAGAGCGTCAATCGCCCACCTCTGCGCAGTGAGACAAATGAACAACAGAAAGAGACACAGATGAGGAGTACAATTGACGGAAGGGACCACAAACCATTCGGGAGCGGAACAGATCCTCCCAACACTAAAAACACAGTGGCAGGCCAACCCGCAGCCATACACAGGGACGCAGACAAAAACGTCCACTCCTGCCTACCTGGCGACATCAGTAGCATGGAAACGTTCAAGAGCCCGCATACACTCTGAGGTGTCTGTATGCCTTCGCATGCGCAACAGGAGAACATCCCGAGAGGGCCCGACAAGCTCCGCGGCCTCGCACAGCAGCAGACGGCAGCAAAGCACAGGATGCTGGAGCGCCTTGTATAGGCTTAGCAGCAGCTCTGGGAAGTGTTTTCTGTGACAGAAAACGCAAAGAAAAGGAGGAAGAAATGGAGAGAAGTGCGCACACACTCCAGCAATTGCCATTGGTTGCTGTAACGGCCAAACGCAAGCTGCCGGGCAGACAGAGAGAAAAACGCAGACGCACACTGAGAGCACGTCGTGTGAGGCCGGCTCAACAGGCAGACAGCTCCCCTAAGCAACAAGTAAGGGGCTTACGTGGGCTCTATCAGCAGCAAAGTGCCGCCCACAGGCAACGCGCATGCGGCGGAGTGAAGCACGTGAAGGAGCGCTTCGTCACAGGGACATCGGGTGTCTGTGTTGTCTGTAGTACTCCGAGCTATGATGTCGTCGAGCCCGGCGACCAGCAAAATGAATCGTGACTGCAGCAAAGGCAGCTCCTCGCTTAGCATGCGGCAGTCATGACGCAGCAATATGCAGCTTCCCACGCCCTCGTGCGCACAGGTCGCCGTTGTTGCTCGAAGTCCTGCTGCAAACGTCCCTACAGGTGTTTCTGCGCCAGGTCCTCCTGCACCGTTGCTCGGCGGCTTCCCTGTGAAGAGTTGCCGCCTGCAAGCCTCCCGGGCCAGGTGCAACGCCCGCTGTGAGGCGTCGATGCCCACGTAGGCGGCAACCGCGCCACTCTGAAGCAGTCTCACCTGTAGTGGCGATAGCAAAGCAGCAGCACAGCCTACTGTAGCCTCGTCAACCGCCTCTACCAACTAGCTGAAGCTGTATGAGAGTGAACAGCAGGACAGACAGAGGAACAAAGACTTACGTGGGTTGGACGAGAGCCACACATCAATTCTAAGAGGGTGTGGGATAGGGGAGCAAGCGGCCGTGCAACACGCCGTCGCCGCTGCAGTTTCTTTTGCTTCTGGTGCTGCTGCTGCTGCGTTAGTTCACTGGAAGGTTCATGAGTCGCTAAAGAAGCAGCATGCGCGTCTTCTAGCAGCACCTGAGCTGCTGCATCCGCTGCGCGTAGCTTCAAGATGGGCTTCAGCACCCTCTTCAAAGAGCGGGTGGAAATGAAGTATGCGACACGGCCCCTGGCGTGCACCAAATCCCAGTACTGTGCTGTCCGGGTCATATCTTCTACCTGAGGGATGCAGATAATCGCAGGAATACCCGCCTTGATTCTGCTGCTGGAGTTCGCAGCGGTCTGTGGCTGTGCTATGCCTCTGCCTGTCCGCTTGAGATTCCTACTCTGAACATAGTACTTTGAGCAACTTAATGAGGTACAGGCATGGCAAAATGAATCTTCACGGGGCGCACACGGGTTTTGCGCGTGGCGGGGCTACTGTCCGGAGATGAATCCATGGCTCTAAGATGTGAAGGGAACTGTCCGAAGGTGGATCTAGAGTTAAACTGTCCGAAAGCCTCCTTTGGAGAGTGCTGCCGGAGTGGGTGTAGTTATACTGGGAACTTCATGGTTGCATACGCTCCTCTCGAGGTCCGCCAATGTTGTGGCGATGGGATGAGATGGGCCTAGCCAAGGTGCAAGAACCACATTATTGCATCAAATGGGCAAATTTTACACAGGCATCCGAGCAGGTACTTGCGACGGTGGTGCGAAGGTAAACACGACGAAAGGCCGGATGTAGAGGAGCCAGGAGATGGAGTGGCGGGCTCGTGGCTGCATTTGCTCTTCCGTAGACGCAAAGTATCGACTACACATGCTGAATGAATTAACCCTCTCCACTCACTACGGGTGCGCTTGGGGCACGTGGCTCCCGAAGCTTCGAATGTGCAACACCCTAGGTCCCTCCCGATGGCCAAAAGCTAAAAGTCGCCTGATGAGGAAACGAGGAGCGTTCCTGTAGAGTTCAAAAAAGGTGTTATGACGTGCTTAGTGCATAAAATTGAAAAATATGCTGAGGCAGTGGAATTTCCGTGTGTGATTGCACCTGCAACTTAGCCCTGGGGATCGGGTCGGTCATGAGACGCTGCCATTTTTCCACACTGCACGCTGGGTATCATCGAGAGTTTTCCCTGCACCACAAATTCGTGTAGAGTCTTTTTTTCAGTTTTCAGTGTGTCCTGTTGTCTATTTCAGCGGGTCATTTGTGAGACTCCGCCATAGGTTGCTTCTGTCACGTCGAAACAACGAGATGAGGCTTGTCGGCCGAAGGCTTAGCAAGGAAACATCCATTTTAGTGCTGGAAGCCTGAAGCACAGTTAGACCTCCTACAGAGAGGTCGTAGTACAGCGTTTTAATGAACCATTGACGGCTGGGCCTTGTGATGCATGAGTTTTCCTCATCATTACCCCAAGTTTGCATCATGTGGATATGTACGGTGGGTGGCAAGCTCCACATGCCATCAACTCATTCAGTTGTCTTGGGATTACGACGGGAGAACATATTCGCATTGTTCTTTCGCCTATTGGGTTGTGCGCAACACTGAGGATTGAAGGACAATCTAAGTGCTCAGCAGCACACGAGCTACAGTCGCGCTGAAGGCCGAACAATAAACTGAAACCACCAGTGCCGTTGGGAATTTGATGCCGCATGTTAGCGGTGAAGAGACTTGCGTTGCTGTGAGCTAAGTTGCACGAGGTTACTGGCGAGGAAGGTAAAGTAAGATGGTGCAATCCTGCTCAGTTGGTTCTAAATTGGTTTGGTAAGATACTGCTGTCAAGCATTGGAATGTCCTCGCAAACACTGCCCTGGGTTCCGTGCAGCTGTCACGCCCTAGACTACTCAGTTTTCAGGCACGAAAGGAAAATTGCTGAAATATTAACAGCAGCATGCAGAGTTCCTTAAAAAGTTTACAGCCGCCTGAACAAGAAGGTTCATCTGTCCAGACCCCTCTTGCTGCTGCTGTTGTATGGGAGGCAACAGCAGCACGAGGTGCCTCAAACGGCCAACCGCAGCATCTGATGAACTGTAACCGTTGCTGGCTGGAGACAGTGAAATGGCCCGGAGCTCTGCGACGACGCACCGTAGCACGGCCAGCATTCTCCGCTGTAGCACGGCAAAGGGCAGGCAGCTTGCTGAGGCTTCTGTCTCGAGTAACAGTGCAGGCAACAGCAGCGCTCCAACTGCATGCTTTTCACATAGTCTGAGGATCTGCCGTAGTCCCTCGCATACAGGCGCGCAAAGGGAATCGAGGTCATCCCCAGCGCTATTCCTCCTTTTGTTGCCGTCGTGTTCCACTGGTGCCTCCGCCGACTGTGCTGCTGCCAAAGGGCTCGACGGTTGAGACGCTTCATGGCTCAGTCCCGCCGAAGCAACCGCCAGGTGGAAGCACACCTGTGGACGCAGTCTGGCTGCATGGCGCGAGACAAAGACTTCTCCTTGCTGCAGTAGCAGCCTCTGCTTGCTGCCGAGGCAGTTGCTGCTGCGCCTCACTGCATGCATAGCCGCACGCAGTAGACGTTGCTGCTCCTCCAGGGAAGGTAGTAGCAGATCTGAAGTGTCGTTACCCGCCTTAATGCATGCACAACTTTCCTGCATGGCCGCTCCAGTGGGCAAAATGGCCCCGGAAAGAGACGCTCGTGGCCCGCTTTTCAAGGCAGCAAACAAATCCTCAGAGGGACCTTCGGGTTCCTGCCCGGTCAGCAGCTCCCCACAACTCGGCCTCCCACTGCTGCCCACGAAGCAAGATAGCGTGCTGCCGCGCATATGTCGCGCGTCTTTGTAGCAGTAGGAAGAGGATCCCCCAGGCCAGTCCGCGAGCTGCTCTTCAGGAAAGGCCGTGGCACCCTGTCCTAGCCACGACAGCCACTTTGCTGCACACGAAACAGTCAAACCCCCCTGCTGCTGATTTTGCTGCTCTGGAGGAGAAGCAGCACTGGAGGGGAAGAAATCTGCCGTGAGGCCCGTGCAAACGTGCAGCCAGAGTGTCCGTCGCTGCTGAGCCCCAAATGTGAGCCTCACCTCTGCATGTTCTTGTACCCCTCCCAGTTGCCAAGGCTGTTGGTGTTGCTGCGGCACCCCTGAAGTGCGACGTTGCTGCGGCTGCATTGCACCAGCTGCTATGCCCTGTAACAGGCGAGGCATGTCAAAGACTGGCCCCTGGTGAGCGGCGGCAGCTACTGCGAGTTGTCTCTGGTGCTGCCTGTGGCGCTGAGAGTGCGCCGCATTCGCAGTGAAGCCCGTTGAGGAACTCTGCAGCACATGTTGCTTCTGTTTTTGTTGCTGCTGCTTCTGTTGTGCTGTTTGCTGCCTCTGCGCTCCCCCGCTTTGTGACGAGCTGTTTTCCGTGCAAGCGGTAATTACTGGCTGTTTGTTCTGCTGTTCCTGCTGCTGCAGCTTGTTCTGCCCAGCAGCACCAGGTGTGCCCATGAATGCACTGGTAGCAGCAGCAGCGGCTGCTGCTGACCCTGCATGAGCTGCTGCTGCGCCGTAGCTTCCCAGGCGCTCCTCTTTTGCTGCCGTTGCTTCTCCAGCAGCCGCAGAAACGCTATCAGAGCTGCTTGAAGCATCAAGCAAAGAGCCCCCTTCCTGGCTAGGGCTGCCACCGTGTCTTCTAAAAAGCTGACGTGCAGTTACTCCCACCTGCCGCCGAGACGGCGGTTGTTGCTGTTCCTGCATCGGTTGCTCCTGCCGTCCTTGCTCCTTTTGCCGCTGCTTCCAGTTAAAGGCCCATCTCTCCGTTTCATCTGCAGAAGGAAGCGGGGGTAGCACCAGTTCTTGACACGCTGCCCCATACACAGCAGCGGAACCATGCTGCAGCACGTAAAGGTCTGCTGCAACATTCTTGAACATGCGCAACTGCTGCTTGCGCATTAGCTGCTGTTCATGTATCCAGTGTCTCCCAAGCAGCTCACATTCACTCAAGTGCTGTTGCACTAGCTCCTGCAAGTCCCTTTCGCACGCCTCAAGTGCAGAAGAAGCAACAGCAGCAGCTGTTGAGTTTTTCGAATCCGTTGAATCTTGAACTGGCAGGCAACGAGCAGCAATCGCTGCCTTCAGCGCCTGCTCTTGCTTCTCCCTCAAGGCACAGGCACATTCCATTTCAATACCTTGTCTCTCTGCCAGCTGCTGCTGGGCGTCTTGCTGCTGCAACAGCAGCTGCGCGAAGGACTCCCGACACTCTTGCTGCAACTGACGCAAAAGGGCTAAGCTGCTGCTGGTGCCGCTGTTTTCGCGTTTCATTTCTGAGCTGCTGATGCGTGGTGGGGCTGCATGAAGCGCCAGCGGCTGCCTCTGCTGTTGCCGCATCCGATTTCGCTGCACATTTTGCATGCCTTCCTGTTTCGCTAGGGTGCAGCAGCAGCACCAGTAGGCTAGAGCTCTCAATGCAGCGAGACGGTCACAGATGCCTCCGCGAAGAGAGGCAGCTGCAGCAACTGCTGTCGATGAAACGGCTTTGGCACGTTCCTGTAGCGCAGGAAACCCACCAGCTAAAGCTGTAACAGCAGCGGCAGCAGAGGGGTCGGTAGCTGCAAGAGCTGCCGCTCTTGCGGAAGTGGTACAGCATAGGCCGAGATCAGCAGCGGCTGCAGCAGCAGAGACTGGCAGTGGGTCCGCCAGCCGAGAGAACCACGATGCGAGAACCCACAAAAAAGACAGCAGAAGGCAACCTTCCGGTATTATTGCACCTGCGGGAGCTGCTAGTCTCGTTGTTTTTGTGGCCTTCCCCTCTTCAGTGGTGGCAGTCAAAGCTGACACACTGCCATAAAGTGAGTCCCCGCTAGAAAGGACTTCACAGCTCAGCGGTTTCTGAGTTGGACGTTGTTGCTCCTGCTGTGCTGTTGGGATGCTGCGAGAACAGAGGCAAAGCAGCAGAGGTAGCCGGACTGGAGAGAAGAAAGCAGCGCTCTCCTCTGCAGCTAGCAGCACATGACGCAATAGTGGTGAACTGCTTGCACCTGTGTGTCGTTGCTGCCGTTGCAGCAAGTGCTGCTGCAAAACCGTATGGAAGCTCAAGGCGGAGCCTGTTTTCACATTAACTCGACAAGTGGGCGTCGCACTCTGACGAGTCCCACCTGACTCGTTTGGACCGCGTGCAGCTTCTTGTGTGCAGGAAAGTGGCTCTGATGGAGCTGTGACAGCTGCTGCTGCTTCAGCCCAGAAGAGCAGGGTCCCACTGCATAGACTGTTTGCACCAGCGTCTAAGGCGCAGTCATAAGAGGAAGCAGCAATAGGCGCTGCACAATCAGCAAGGCGTGGACGGCCAGACAGTGTTACTGGGACATGGCAATTTCCTGTCGTCTCTTCTGTTCCCAGGAGTTGCTGCTTTAGCTGCACCTGCTGTTGCTGGTGCAGCTGCACCTGCTGTTGCTGCTGCTGTCCCTGCCGCCGCTGCTCCCCCCGTTCTTGCTGCTGCTTCTGCTCCATTGATATGGCGAGCTCCTTTGGGGAAGAATCCCCCCTCGAGAAGCTAGCTGCCTATCTGCCCTTTCTCGTCGCTGGCCACCCCTCTATCCGTTCTTTGTGAAATCCGGCCGTTCGGCTGGATTATTTAATACCTCGGACTTCATACTCTAATCATTAGATGAGTGGCCGTTCCTGTTGCGGGTGCTCCAGCTACTGCAACAGTTACCATTGCTCCGCGTTTCTGTCGGCCGCGAGTCTGCCTGCCTGCCTCGTGGTTGTCTACCGAAAATAAAACTAGCCTTGGAAGTCGGCGAAAATATAGAAAATAACAATATAAAGATAAGTTAAGGTAGGAAAGACGTCAAAAAAAGTGAGGCGACGTTGGCCGCCTCTAGGGCAGAGGGGCCCCCGAGCATACCGTGGCAATACGCTGGGCCGAGCTGTTCACTTCTAGCCAAGTTGAGAGCTTCTGTGTCCCTAAACGGCACTGTTTTGACTTGAGGAAATCTCCTTATATTTGCGCTGGAATGTCGCCAGCACCTACCTAGAGCTGGTGCTTGCAAAACGAGAGTAGTACACTATTCACTACTCCGGGCCTCGACGGGGTGTTCAATATCTTCTTTAAGTGCATCACACTCTGCAGCTATACTAGTTTTTACTTATCTGCTGTATTGCCTTCTTTCTCAAAGTTGGCTGAGCACTTATCGGTGCATCTGCCGCCAATTGCAGCTTGTAGCAGGCCCTGTCAAACGTCAGTATGCGCGCTCATGCTTGTAGATATATAAGGGGGCCTGTTAGAAATGGGTGTACGCATCCATGCTAGCATATCTGCGTGTTTGTTGGGTAGTGGAAGCCAACCAAGTGTTTGGCAATTGCCGACGGTGCTAGTGCAAGTAGCGTGTCAGAAGTTATGTGTGTGCGCGTGTGTGCACTGGGCTACTGAGAGCCAAAGAAGCGGTCAGAAACTGCTTATTGTATCACTTTGTGCATCAAGAGGTGTATGAGCATGCTTGCATGTGGGTTTGCCTTGCGTCAGGTGCTGCACCCACCGAGGCACGACGCAACTGACCTCAGCGCACTTCCTCTTCTAGCAGCCCCACGCCTTTGTAACGGTATGGCCAGGACGCGTGGAGACTGAGGAACAGTTCATCTACCTGTGCGAGGGTTGCCTTTCTTAGGTATTCTCGCTGTTGTAGCTGGGCGGTCTCCAGCCAAGCTCGAAGGGCTTCCTTACTCTTGGCAGCGCCGCATGGTTGAGAGGGGCAGGCAAGAGCTTCGAACCCCACCGCCACAGCTGGGGGGCATGGTGCATAGCACTGCTATACGTGATGGCGGTTTGACTGGGGGGCAAGGACACGGTATGTCTCCTGAAATGTTTGCTAATTTTCAGCTGCTTTCCACACTAGAATATTGGAAGTTGATCAGGATCTGCCCCGGAGAAGGAGAGGTTGCCAACGGCTGGGAACTTGGTCCCATTGGAAGTCCCAAAAGCGCAAAATATCTGCCACAGATACCATTCAAGAAGAATGCCTCAGCCCTTGCCGACCATCCCCATACAGCATCTGCCGCGACGCCGGGCAGTGGAGGAATTTGTTACTTCTCTGAAACTGAAGTTGCAAGATGCACTAGAAAAGCTGCACATGTTATTTGTTTGCCCCTTACTAGAAGGGGACTCAGCACGACACTGGTGGTTATATCGGAGCAAGGTTAGTTCTTTTGCAACTTAAGGTATGCTTTCCGAAGGGCAAAGCAGTTAAATGCCCAACTCAACAAGGGAGTAAGCTATGGCAGAAACGATACTTCGTGACGTGAAATCCCAGCAGAGAGCCGCATCGCCAAGCACCAGTCTTTAGTGAACCGAAGACCAGCGGTAGGGTCGGAAGTTCCACGTGAGTGGTTCGTAGCAGGGCTGCGTCGTGGACAGAGGCACCCAGCGCCTGGCTGCCGCCGGAGAGGCAACTCAAGGGGTGGAAATGTGGGACTATACTGGATAGTGGAGTGCTTACACATCACAAAAAGAGCGCAAAACCGCCACTTCACTTCCAATGCCCTAGCTGAGAAGGGAAGACAGGGCCCTGGAAATGACAAAGGCCTACAGCTTAGGGGTATGGAGGCTGTGCTTGCCATCCCCGCCCAGAAGAAGATAAAAAGCAGCAACAGACCACCCCATGTGAGTTCAATGCTTGGCAACCTCGAGGGCCTTCCGAATGGCGCATCTGCTTCGTTTGCAACGAACGATATCAGCGAGTTTGAAAGTACAGCCGCCCAGGGAAGACCACGGAACTGAAGAAGCAGCACTTGTAGCAGCGAACGTCAGAAGAACAAATAAGGCGATCAGGCCCCCAAGCAAAGTGCGTGGCAGGCGAAATAGGTGGCAGCAGCACCCGCACACCCGCTCCGATTCAACTCCCTGCTAATTCAAGTTTGTGCTAATGGCCAGGGGTTGCCAGACCCACTTTGCGGATGGTGCTAGGTGGGTCTGACAGGTGAGGCTAAGTAAGTGTACATCCCAGGCGCTCCAAATGGTAGTTGCATCCTTTACGGTAAGAGGAGTGAAAGCAGTGCCCCAAGGAGGAAGGAGCGACAAGTTTCCTATTCAGTGCAGAGGCGCTTCCGGAAACGACGAGAAACGCCTGCACTCCGTCGTGATCTCCTTTGGAATGTAGCGGGATGGAGGGATTCGGTCCAGTTCACGCACCCGAGGAACAGCCACAGTGGGCACAGCTGAAGGAAGGGTTCTTAGAAGAATTGATAGCTACGGAAAAGCCATCTGGGTGCCCAGGCACCGGATCGAACTCACTCGAGGGGCAGCCCAAAATTTTGTTAAAAGGTGCCGGCAATTCCCCTCCTACATGTTTCCCGAGATGCAGACAAAGGGAAAGCAGAGGAGAAGGAGCATATGCGTCGCCTTCGACCAACATTTCCAATGCGTGGGGTAGACGAACCACTTGACATCGTGCAGGGGTCAGGAGTCTTCATCAATTGCCTTCGGTGAAGCGCATTTGTAGATCCCCTTACGTCCCGAAAACGGGCACTAGACGGCATTTCATACGTGCACTGGTGCACTAGAGTACAAATGCATTTCCTTTGGGCGCACGAATGCAACTCCCGAACTGCAGTGACAGCTCCATCGCGGTGTTATGGGGCCAGTCAAGTGCAGAGGAATAGGTATTTGCATGGACATGATGCTTGTATTCAGCTGCGATGTGCAGGAGCACTTGCAGTGTTACTCTACAACTGCTATGTTAGGGGCAGGTGTTCGTGGAGGCGCAGAAGCGTTCGTCTCTCTTGCAAACAATTCGCTCCCTACGGCTTCGTGCCCTTTAGTCGGGAGTCGAACCAGATCTGGCGAAGGTAGAGGCCATTCACTTCTCACGTGGCCACTGCCCCTGCACACTTTCAGATACATTCCGAAGTTGTTCGGTCGCGTAGCGGACTGCCGCAACTTCATCCAGGAGTTTGCTCCCATCGCCGCTCTCTAAAGGATCTGTTCAAGATAGCCAAGCATTGTACTTGGACAAAACTTAAGACGTACCAGCTAGCATCATTATCGGACACTTGCTATCGTCTCCAGAACTAGCGCTCCTTGATTTCGACAAACTCTGCTCCCGAACAGCCAATGCCAGTGGCGCAGCAGTTGGGGCGATACTCTGTCAGCAAGCGGTAGGCTGGAGAAAGCACCTCAGAATCGCCTACTATGCACCCCAGTTAACGAAAGAAGATCGGGACTGTCCGCTGCGCTGGAAGGAGCTCTACAATATTTGCTGGGGAGTGAGTCATCGTCCACGCTAGTTGTATGGCAAGCACATAACTGTTCACACAGATCATCAATCCCCGGCTCACCGCGCATAAAGTTTTCAAGACTTTGACAGAGAAATATTTGTTCGGAGGCTAAGGTGGCTCACGCAGTACAACTTTACAATCAAGTATGTTAACAATATCATGAAAGTGGTCGCTGTCGCACTCTCCCGACGCCCTACGGGCCAGATAGAATTTTCCGCATCTGCGCTTCTCTGCGGCGATTCCTGTGTCCTTCCGCAACTGCACTGCGCTTACTCATTATATAAGCACGCGGCTGCAATTATTTTTCAAGGTTCACAACAGAAGACGAGTGATGTACGACGCCGTGACCGAGGTTCTCTTGTGATACCAGACCAATCATGAACTCGGCAGTTTATACCTTCCAGTTTCGCTTCGGCTACACGTTTTGCGCAAAGTTCACGCTCATGATTTAGCAGGATACGCTATGTTAGGCCAGCAGTGAAGGCCCTTTTGGTGTTTCATTGCTTGCCAGCCAGCTGAGAAATCTGCTTAGGGTTTCTGGAGACCCCGCAACAATAGCCGTGGAACACTCGCATAACTACACATCTGCATAGTCTTCCGATTTCTAGACGGATCTGGGCGTGAACTTTTAAATGCCTTTCCAAGTATGTTTGCCTCCAGTCGGAGGCTCTGGCAGTTATTGCGTTTTTGTGGACTGGTTCAGCAATTATCTCCACCCCGTCCCGTCTCCGATCTCAAGCACAGGAGAGGAAGGGTCGCCATTTTCTATTCGTAAAATCTGGAAACTAAATGTATTTCGGAAGGGCGGCATTGCTGATAGGGACCGAAATGTTGTCTATGCATTCTGGCTCGGCTTCGCAAAGCGGCTAGAAGTGGAGCATAACATGGCCGAACGAACCGTTAAGAAGGAGCTAGATGGCCAAACTGACCTCAGCAACTGCACTATTACGGTGCATTGGACACTGCATACCCGCCAAAATTCACCTCAGTGGCCTGAATTGTTTTTAATGGCTTTGCAATACAACAGTGAACTCTTCGAGCAGCTGTACCCCGGAGGCTCTGACGTGCACCAAAGACTCCGTGATATTCTCCCTGTCTTTGTCTACGGCCAGATCGGTGCCGCCGCAAAGAACATCTCTATATTGTTTCATATTTTCGGGCTAGATAATTCTTCTAAGGCTGGCCAGATCCATGCGTCATACGTCTACTGATGTTGCGCGTTGCTCGCCGCTCACACTTGTCATCAGGTTAGGGTGCGCCCATTGAATGATGCATAGGTCCCAGGCAAAAGGACCCCTTGATGGCCTACGGTAGGCATGCTATGCCTCACCGAAATGCGTCCTGCGGCAGTAGCAAAAAGGACAGACAAAGCCGAAAGATGCTTCTCTCCCTTTTCCTGTTACTGTTTTTCTTTTTCCCTTTTGGTTTTGGTGTTGCCAGCTCTGGCTCCTCCTGCACCTTTCTTCGCTGCCCTCAATACACGCATCCCTCCTTCCGAGGCCAGATACACGAGGAGTTGCGCTGCTTGGGAGAGAAGGGGGCAAGTACACCGTGGCCTATCTGGCTTTGGTACATACACTTTTGCGTGAGCGCAGTTGCGCTTGGTTTGGGTACTGAGGAACTAGGAAGCGCTTGACAACTCTCTGGGATGTTAGCGCGTACATCAAACAGCGGTTCAAGCATGATTGCAGGTGGGGTGGCCTTGCAGAAAGTGTTGCAGCAAGGAGTGCTGCAACTCATGATAGGCCTCCTACTATCTTCACTGTAGCAAGCTCTGCTTATCTCTGCTTGCCTTCAGGCTGGCTGTTGAGGGTAAGGGAAGCGTTTAACAGCTATCTACAGCGTTAATGTGTGCAGGCCTTGGCTGTGCTTGCAAGTGAGGCTTCCTTGCAGCACCAGTTGCGGGGAGGTGCGATGCTGTTCATGGCCAGCCTGCTTCTCTCCACACCAGCCTCAAGCCCATGGCCGTTATACCCATAACACCTCGAGACGAGAATGGAAGCCACAGGGCTTCTGGAAGCTTCCCCTTAGGCGTCTTCATTGTCACTCACGACGGTTCTCCGACCGTCGTGGGCTGCAATAGAGGCTTAGATCGAGGACACTCGTTACATTCACCAGCCCGAGATTTGTTTTGTCGAGCCAAAAAAGTGGAGACTTTAGGGAGGGCTAGCTGTTTTGGAAGAAATATAGCCGTCAGTGTTGCTGTTAAGTCTCACAACAGTCGTGGGTTCAGATCAATGACTCATGCTCAGCTGACCGCGGCACAACGAAGGCGTGACCGTCATACAACTCAATTCTTGAAGGCTTGTTTCGAATGCCACGAAATACGATAGTTTTGTACCATTTAGCAGGCATTTGGTGGAGAACCCGTTCGGTTTTTTGCAACCCCACGTGCCCTCCGAGCGCATCCCTCTACCGTTCCCAAGGGCACAGGGGGAGGGGCTAAAGGTCTAGATCGCGAAGTACTCCGTATATGGAGGACGATTAACTCGATAATTTCTCCATTTGTGGCACTTTCGAATATTCGCTCTGCAGAAAGGTGGGCAGACTATGCAGACGCTCTGGCGGGCTAGTCGGATGCCACTTGAGCGGCCACAATGTCTCCACCGCCTCTGCGGGTGCGGGTAGGCATTCCATCGGCCTTCCTTTTGGCTCAATGCAGCCATTGGGCTTTATCCTTCAAACAGGGTACCTTTGGATGACATTGTATGAGCGTCCATTCGACGGTTTATACTCGAGCTTGTGAATGGGGAAACCAGAGCACTGTGACTGGATTTTGATGAGTAGGGGTTGCGCCCGATCCTACCCACGGCATTCATGAAGCAGTCCGTCGTAATTTTCCACAAGGCCTACGCGAAGGAGCAGTAAAATTAGGATCATTTCTGCTTATTGCCATTTTTCTCGCCAGTACCCACAGTTCACCGTGGAGCAAATAGCTGTTTGACGCAAGTTTCCAGGGGCCCCATGGAGCAGGCTGGGGGGACATCGTTACCCGGTGTGGCGTCCAAGGCGAAGCCCGACCAAGATGAATCTGCCCTACAGGAAGAACCCTTACAGATTCCATCACGTGCAGATGGATCTGATGCTCAAAAAAAGCCCAAGCGAAAGCTGTTTCCAGTAATCGTAATCCTTACCATTCTCGGCTTTCTGTTGGCGCTTCTTCCTAAGCTCACCGATCCTGCTAAGAAGCCCGTTGAGCAGCCTAAGCCTGAGCCGATTCCCGGTGGGCAGGCGGAACGTTCATTCGAGGCCGCTATCACAAGAGCAAGGAGCATTGTTCCGGACACCAGCTGAATTGAACGCAAGTGCACTTTCACCAGAGTTGTGCGTTTGCTTGAATGCAGGTGAGGAGGCGCCAGTCTCTTCTGGAGAAGAACTAGAACCAGGCCAGCCTGAATATGGGCCATCAAAAGGCAGACCTTCGGGCGAGCGGCCAGTATTGCCTACTGGAGATGAAGATAAGGAATCTCCTAAGCGTAGAACGCCGACACCACTGCCAGACTTCCAGCCTCCTGATACGCCACCCATTCCCCCTCCTCGTTTGCACACAAAACGGGAGGATACGCCCAGCCCAGGCGACGAGTCACCTTCAGAGGTAGGTCTCCGCTCGTAATGTAATCCAACATGGATCTTGCAACGAATGTTGGCGTGCTAATAATGCTGCGTATATCCTTGATCCGCCTCCTGCGTGACGAGAATCTCGATACGTGCATTGCTGCAGTACGCGCTTTTAGTGGTGACTGTTGTGTTGTGTGGTGGATTGTTCTTTTGCTGTCTTGAAGCCGCTGAAAATGACATGCCGTGCTAGGCTTTGCCCACTCGGCTGCATATTGAGTGGGGGGCCGTCTGCCTTACGAGGCAGGTCTGTGCTCTCCATGGCCTCTGGATCGAATCTATCTCCTGTGGTAGTTCTTTAGTAATGGGAGCTTACGGATTCTGTTTGAGACGGCCTTATCTCTCATTGAATATTTGCCGTTTGGGGCGCTGTATTGCATGGTGTTGTAGTGGCTGTCGACAAAAATTTGGTCTAACATGGAGCATGCATGGGTGAAGGCTGCGAGGCTAATGCGTGATTTTGGGGACTTGCTGCGTATGCTGCATGCAGGGGGGTCCAGTACCCCATGGTGTCAAACGTGAGTTCGTCCAACAGCCATGGACTAGGTCTAGAGAGATGCCGCTTCTGCCGCTTTGCTGTGTCGCTTCCTGGCAGCCCTTCAGGATTAGCACTAGAGGCCTTTGGAGTTCTTTTGACTTGCTTGCCCCCGCTAATCCTCACTTGAAGTTATTCTGTCTCGCTGTGGATCTGTCTTGCGTGCAATGCAGCTCCCCCTCGAGGCAAATTCCCCCCAATAATTATTCCACTCCCCACCGATGATGGAGAAGAGCCTCCGTCGCCTCCGGAGAGGCCTATACCGGCAGAACGCAAGAAAAGGCCAAGCGTAGGAGGAGCTGGCCCTTTGTCGCCTGGGCACCCTACCGGGGAACAAGCCCCGGAACAAACGCCGACGCCATCTCCATGGGGGGAAGAAGAGGAATTGTATCCACCTGGAACTGGACCCGCGGGACCGGAACCGCCAGCACTGCCTACCTTGCCGCCAGCTGGGCCAACTGGATTTGAAGAACAGCCTCTTCAACCTGGAGACGAGGGGTTCGGACCAGAGGATCAAGGAGGATATGATGCGTGGGAAGATGAAGAGGGATACGGCGATGAAGGAGGTGTAGAAACGCCACCCACTGCGCCGGCGACTGAGCCAGAGGATCAACATCTGCCACAGTTCCCAGGTGCCTCGGGGTACGGATCTGCTGGTGAGGAAGGTGAAATGAGTGAAGAAGAAGGCGAGCAAACGCCATCCCCTGCTCCGGCGACTGAGCCACAGGATCAATATCCGCCACAGTTCCCAGGTGCCTCGGGGGCCGAATCTGCTGATGAGGAAGATGAAGAGGGATCCGGTGATGAAGAAGGTGTACAAACGCCACCCACTGCGCCGGAGACTGAGCCACAGGATCAGTATCCGCCACAGTTCCCAGGTGCCTCGGGGGCCGAATCTGCTGATGAGGAAGGTGAACAGGAAATCGGTGAAGAAGATGTACAAACACCACCCACTGCACCAACGATTAAAGAGCCGGAATTTGGACCGGGAGAGGGGAAGCCCTCTGCAGCGGAAGGTGAAGGAGGTAAACCGGAGTCCACGGAGACTGCACCCAGGAAGCCTGACGCCCAGACATCCGGCGAAGGGGATCCAGAGAAGCCCGAGGAGAAACCACCATCGAAAGCGCCGGATGAGGAAGATGAATTCGAACTCCCGGACAGATATGGAGAGCCGGTAGAGCCATGGTCACGAGAGGAAGCGGTAAGAACCGGAAAAAGAGACACTGAGTGCTAGGCTTTATTTCGAATGTAATTTCTATTCCTGAGAAATGCCTTGCACGCCGTCTTCGTGTGGCCCAGCTGGTGCATTCGCGGGTGGACCGTGAAGCCTGTCTCTGGCGTCTGCGGTGCGATGCCTTCAGCTCCAGACACCTTTTATTCTACAACTTGGTGGCGAAAGGTTCGGGAATATGGGGAAAGTGCCAACTGAAGAATTCCAGAGTACGAATTGCATCACGCTCTACACAAATTCTTTGAGGTGCTAAAGCGTGGCTATCACTGCGAACGCACTTAAATGCACTTTCTACATCCCGGGCAGAAAGAAAATGGGGGATCAAAATACGATACTGACGACAAGTAGTGCGTGGCCCCACCTGGTGTTGATTGTGAGCTCAGAGGTTCTAAAATTGAGCGAAGGAGACCCCTCCGACGAGGTGCCTACAGACGTAGGGCCAATACTCAAGTACGGATACTCAGCACTCAAACGGCGTTCCCGTATTAGGAATTTTTATCCTGGCAGTGCTGCTGTATAATGCCTGCTTGAGCAGACACACTCTTCTGATCCGCACGAGTGTCCAGAAGGAACAATACATCTCGTCCTTTTAAGCATATAGGCACTAGCGGGGAGCAGATTCTCCAACTGCATTGCGCCTATACTCTGAATGCCATTTTTACAGAGATTCTCTTCGGGCGATACTTCCAGGAAATTCTGCGGATTTACCCAGCCTGGAACATTACTGCGAGCGTCTTCAGGTGCCTTTTAATACTGGCAGCTTCTAAGAGACACCTCTTGCAGCATCTGATATTGTTGTTATTACGACCGCCCTCTACGGTGAATCGTAGAGGGCGGTAGTTTTGAGAGCGTCGTGTAAGCAAATCTCTGTGCGAGGGTCTTCACTTGTGTGCCCAGTGTGTTTTCATGTACTTGTACTCTCTCAGTCACACGTTTCTACTCGCTCGTCAAAGGGAATGTAAGCGGACTGCTGCTTGCTGCCTTCATCTCCTGTTGCGCACTGTTTCTAGTTTGACCCCATGTCGCGTGCGGCGAAGTTGGTTCCTTACTCGGATAGCCCATTGCGAAGTTGCTCTAGTTTGGCTGGCCTTTGTTTGTTGTAGGCAAGTACCCACGACAGTTCTTTCGCCAAGGGCGGCAGGAAGGGCATGGACCGACTGGGAGAACGGAAGGAAACCAAACCTTTTCTCGGTAGGGCAGCCTGCGTGGTTTGGCGGCAGCCTTCTTTGCCTGATGGCCAAACTGCCACCTCATGCTGGTGGCTCGTGCTGTCATGGAGTTTTCGATGTTTTGACATTGCTGCTCCTGAAAACCCTCTGATGGTTGCGTGGGCGTCGCCGAAGGCCTGTACTCTTCTGCAGTTTCCTGTCTGCGAGCAGTCACAAATTAAGCGCTGTAATGATGCAAAAAGGGTGGTGTTGCTGCTTCCATCCTCACGTGGCAGGGGAGATCCGGACATCATTGTCGGTGTAATCGATAGAAGGTAAGCAAACGCAGCTAAAAATGCCCAAATGTGTAGAATAAATGCAATGGTTGAGCCGTATGTGCACTTGTTAAGCTCCTGGGGTAGGTGAGATAGATCAGCGGTTTGACGGGTCTTCAGATAGGCGCTTTGGAGAGAACCCTATGGTGCCCTGCAATCATGGCGTCACGGTAATTGGCTTTTGGAATGGTGACCTTTGCTTTCAGATTTGGATCCGTCAGAGTTATTGACAGTTCACGCCATTCGCGTGATTACGGTAGTATTGTTGACTTCCTCAAAGCGTTAGCCGAGAAGATTGATGACAGGACAGGCAAGCGGAACGCTTCCGTCTTCTTATTAGCTAGATGCTTACCCTTTCATTTTTTGTGCACTAGTATATTTTCCTTTGCAGTCGCTGCATGCACCATGCGAGGCCAAATAGTTTGTGCTGCCTTGGTGCTTTGCTGCTACTCAGGTGCTCCGCATCGGGAGTACTTGGTGCCGCCCCAAGTGCCGGAGGTACGGAAGCCGCTTGCTTGCTCTTGCCTTTTTGAGTCCTCTTGTAGATTCCTTAAGGGCCGTTGACTTTGGAAGTGTTCGCAGACTTGTGCCTTCAACGTTGTGCTCTGCTTCAGGTGGGATTCCCGGTTGAGCTGGAAACGAGAGAAGACGATTTGCCGGTGCGCGATGCGGATCTAACAGCACAGTTTTTCCACCCTCCGGATGTCTACATAGCCCACTGCGGCGGGCTTCTTCGCTCTGCGTCTTTTGGGATGGCACCACGCAGACATAAGGTGGGTGATGCCTGTGCTGGTGACTGTGCGAGCAGGCTGAACTTAGACACGCCTCTGTTGGTATGGCCTTAGAAACCCTTACGGCCATTGCAGAAGATCGAGCCCCTACCCACAGGCATAGAGACGTTCCATTTATCAGAGAACGAGTGGTGAGTTCAGGGGCCTCCATAAACTTTGAGTTTGGTAACACAGGTCTGCGTAGCCCACTAGCGCCCAGTAGACGTCTGTCGTAAATGGATGACTAGGCTTTGGCTCTGTCTTGGCAGCCTTGTCGTTGCCTTATGTGCCAGGAAAGTACTTTTTTTAGGTTTCCGACGTGATTCATAGGGGTGCGTCAATTAGGCTCACGTGTGGAGTCATGCGAAGCCGTTGCATTTGTTGTTGGCGTTTTTAGTGTGTTGAGACCGTATATGGTCTGAAGCCTAGGCTTCTGGAAAACGGAGAGATGCGGCCAGTGGAGAAAGGGGATTGAGGATGATTTTCTTGGAGAATGCAGCTTGTTTGCAACAATCCCTGGGAAGGGTTATCAATCTTTCCAAGGGAGACAGTGAAGGCAATGCATACTGGCCGGTTGCTCACACCGTCGAACGGCCGTTCAGAGAGCTACCTGGACAAATGTGTATCCAAGAATCTTGCCGCTCTTAGAGGCATTGGGATGAGCTGGCTAGACAAGCGCAGCTGACCATCGCTGAGTGGGCGGCATTATTGGCAATGCGTCGACTTCTCTTGTTGATACTTGGTGGCAAGAAAAAACGTGAACCGAGAAATTCCCGGGAACCCTGGGTCCTTCTCCACGGGAGAGCAGTGTGACCTCCTTTGGAAAAGACGATGCTTAACGCAATCAGGGAAGATAGAGTTTCGTGGGCATGCCACTATACCCACAGTGTGGTAGTTTTTACCGCAGTATCGCTCTGTTGAATGTAGAGGCCACAGCTGGTATAGCACTGTGTTACAGAAGTGTAGATAAATTCGCGTGGGTTTTCATGCCTTTTGGCACGGAGCCCTATTCGACTCTGCTCTCCGCTATAGAACCGGATTTTACCGTTTGCTTTTGAAATTAACGCAACCGCAAGCATTATATATATATATATATATATATATAT